GTCCCCGCTGCCAGCCCTGCTTGTCCTGCCCGCTGCCTGTCCCCTGCTGCCAGCCCTGCCCGCTGCCTGTCCCCTGCTGCCAGCCCTGCTTGTCCTGCCCGCTGCCTGTCCCCTGCTGCCAGCCCTGCCCGCTGCCTGTCCCCTGCTGCCAGCCCTGCCAGCCCTGCCTGTCCTCTCTCGCCTGCTGTCACTCCCCGAGGAAGCCAGGCTGATGCTCGTGGGCACCCCAGTCCTGTTCTCATGGGTCTGGTCTTGCAAACAGTCTACTGCTCTTCGTGTGGTTATATTCCAGGAGCGGAATCTCTTGTATACATCCAGTTTATGGTCTACAAAGCTGTGTTTGTTTTCACTGGGATCTGCAGCTAAGCCCACTGGATTGTTCCCAGATCCATCATCCTCTCTGAAGCTGGGTGGCACTCAGCAACCTGCACAGGGTACTTGGTGAAACCCAAATGTGTGTGTCATTTTGTGCTTGTCACATCCTGGCCGTGTCACCCCCTGCCACGTACTGCCCTGGCAGCATCACCACACTGAGTCTGGATCCCATCAGTGTTTGCTGAGATCCTCGATTTGCTGACACTGGCAGCGGGTCCAAACAAGGCCTTTAATGGTCTGCACCGTTTCTGTGTCCACAGAAAACAAGAGGAGGAACCAGGCTCTGCTGGAGCAGCTCTGTGTGTGGGTGTTGAGCCCATAGTCTGGGGCCCACACCAAGCACTGCAACTATTAGGACTATTATACCCTCCCATTCTTTTTTTCACCTGGAATTAGAAGGAAGAAAATAGTCTGCAGGAACAGATTAGAGAGATGAAATTCCAAGGTGTGCCAAACCCAAATAGACTGAAATACCTCTTAGGGTTCTTCTGGGAACACCAAATGGAGCAAGATCATGCCCAGATGTAAGGTGACACAGCCCAGCGTGCTGCTGGCTGCAGCACTCTTTCCTGTGAGCTGCTTATCTAGCAGGGAGGCCTCGGGAGTACTGCAGATAAAAGGGACTGCTATTTCCATCTCTGCAACTAAACCACATTCAAAAAGCCATGCCTGGTCATATTATAGCAAAACCCCAGAATTTCTGAAAATGCTGCAGCTTATTAATTAGGTTTGTATTTCCAGTAATGCCAAATATGAATCAATCTAATTAAAGACAACAAGGAACTACAGCTCCTCCAGTCAAGTCTAGTGAAACTAGAAGAATACCAAGACAGAGAAGTAGTTTTTTCTGTAAGTCACTATCCCTGCAGCTGGTGTTACACAATTCAAGTTGAACACAAGTGTGTTGCAAGTCAAATCTTCCCTTACAGGCACTCACAGAAGCAAATTAAGCAGCAGCACCTGAATTCTACTCAGCTCATGGCAGCATTCAGATTTGCTTTGTAAGGTTTTGCTTTTTTGTAAGGTTTGGTTTTGCTCCACATGCCCAGGAACAGCACAGGCACTGTGACCCCACAGAATGTCACTCACCTCCCTGGCTGCAGGTGAGTGCTTTCGTAATTCCAAGGCCTCTGGTTTCACCTTCAGCATCAGGGGAAGCCTTGCAGCCCCAGCCAGACACTTGCTGCTCTTGCTTAGGGATTGTTTGGATTTCACTAAGCTGCCCTAAGGCATTGCCATTCTTTAAATCCTAGTTATTAGAGGTGGCTCCAGGCATGCCAAGGGCACAAGCCAGCTGAAGTGACAGTCCCCAGAAAAGCTGCCTGGGCAGCTGCAGGGCTTGCAGCGTGTCCCACAGGCAGGGACACTCTCCCAAGCCCCAGCCTGGCACTGGCAGCTCTCCAGCCATCCAGCAGCAGCAAGCTGATCTCCTTTCTCCTCTCCTGGCTGGCCCTGCTCCCACCCCTCCTTCCCTGAGCCTCAGGAGCTGAGGCTGCCCCAGCTGAGCCTCAGCCCCTCAGCCCCAAGCAGTGACTCTTGAACAGTACCAAAGGGCCAAATGTAGGTGGAGAAGATGCAGGTGGATCAAGTGGATCCAGATAATTTCTGGAATGCTGTGTCTCTCCAAGTTGTAATTATGTGTGTTCCTCATCCTGACCACCACACTTGCTCACCACCTGCAAAATGAGCACCCACCAATGTGCATCCCAGCTCTAGGAAGGAAATAAATAATTGGAGGCTGGCCCTGTCTTTTTCCACTGCCTTTTTCCCTTGCCCTTGCCAGTTCTTTGTATTTTTGCCTTTGCCAGCTCTTCCTTCTGAGGGTATAACACCACATTTTAACAGAATAAGAAAATTAATAAATAAGTATTCAGAATGAAAAATGTGTGGGAATGAGATTAAATACAGATAATTGATTTGTTAATGAAATCTTCCCAAAATAAATCCAGGGTTGTTCAAACTCCTTAATCTGTGATTGTCAATTTACAGAAAAAATAAAGAAAAAAATGACAGACATCAGTATAATTCAGGCAAGAGATGATGGGCACCTTGGAGAGAGACAGCAGCTCCTGGAGGAGCAAAGGAAAGGTTTATCCAGCTGTTGACAGGAAGGACCAAGCAAGCTCTGACAGATTTTTGAGATTTAGCTCCCAAACACAGCAGAAATGTCGTGGCTGTGAGGCAGGCAGGGTCTGGTGCCTTGACCTGACAGGCACAGTCACAAAGACCTGGTGTGTTTTACTTCATAGCTGTAAGCAGCAAAGTGGAGAGGACTTGGTGCAGCTCCACAGGCCACATCCCTCATGCACAGAAAAGGTTCTTGGCTTATTGTGAGATTTTGGCATCTTTTCTGAGATGTGCTGATGTCATGACACCGAAGCCATGGGTATTGTACTTTTAATCCCCACTTCATCAAAATTCAGTCCCCTGGTTAAACTTAACTGCTGCTGCCCCATCTGAATTTTTTCCTCTGGTCTTATCATGGCCAGCAGATATATAATTCAGCTCTATACAGAGCTAGAAAGGGGCTATTGGTGGCTTAAATCTTATTTATGCACTAATACGAAGGCATAAGTAGGATTTATGGGATGCTTAATCCCTGTGCTAACCCTCTGCACAGAAGCAGGCTGAGCTCAGAAGAACAGCTTTTATGACAAAGGAAAGTCTAAAACTTACAGCTTTCATGACAAATAGTGTCAGCAACACCTATTTCTTCAGCTTTGGGAGTTCCCACTTCCTTCCAAAGGAGAGAAAATGAGGAAGGAGAATGAAACAAAAGTCCTGTCCCTCCTGCCTTTGATCTGGACAAGATTAGATCCTGCTGTAAATTTAGGACAAGCCTTCAGAGACATCTAGTGATTTCTCAGAGGATTTGATTGTGATTTCACAGCACTGTATTCTGGGACCTTGTGCTGGTCAATCAATGCAGCCCAAGACAGACTCTTCTACAACAGCATCCTGCAGCCTGGGGCTGCTCTGGGAGAGAGCTTTGCTCTTGCATTATTGCATGTTGGCTTGTTAAAGTGTTCACTAAGCACATTTCCCTTGATTTGCTTAGACTCATAGAATGAGACACAAAAAACAACCAAATAAAAACTCCCACCTCCAAACCAGAAATGTTACTAAATGAGGAAATTTTCAAGGCAAGCACTCTACATCATTATATTTTCAAGGAAGCTTGGGAGAAGAAATAACATATGCTGGAAAGAATTCCTTTTCATGGTAAAAGCTACTCTTCAAGAATTTTTTTTTCTGTGCAGACTCTTGGGAGGGGGTGGTAGGGAGGAAAGATTCAAGTCTCAAGAAAATTTTCCAGTAGATAATCAAATACATGACCTCTAATTTTTTATCATCATGGACTTCAGATATATGATTTATTCACCAATGTAAAAAATAAATCAAACCCCAAACAAGGATAAGTCGTTTTCTGTAGGTTAAGAAAATACTCACTATGCAGATCACTAATTTTCAACAAGCCTAAAAAACTCTCTGTATGGAGCATTTCTTCCTCTCTATCAATATCAGAAAATGTGGAAGGCTGAAGAGGAAATGAAAGTTAAACCAAACCATTTAAAAATACAGTACTGTGACAGATTTTATTTCATTTTGAGTGATACTACATGCTTACTACCACTAGGAACAGCCATGCCTTTTTTTTTTTTGGTTTGTTTTGGACTTTTATATATTTTTTTTTAATCTATATTAAATGTTGACCTAAACTTTGCTGTGCCTTGGAAATCTGGCTCAGGAGTTAACTGCAGGAATTTTTATTTAAATAGATAAGCATTTATGTTTGAAAATAAGACAAAAACAGGTGAACAGAAAAATTAAATTACAAATTCAGTTCATACAAATATCTCTTACACTATGCACTAAATCCTGTTAATTAGCTGAGGTCTTTTAAAAATTCTTAAAATACTTATGAAACATTATTTACAAATTATATAAACAAAATCTAGGCCACTTAAATTAACCAATACAACAAAAAAAGTCACCTTTTTGTATGGTGTGTACTAAAAATGTTCTTGTTTATTGATCATAACCCAGTTTGCAGTATAAAATGTTTGTTCACTTACATCAAAATGGGTTCCAATAGAAGGAAGGAAGGTATTGGTTCCAGAAGAAAGCAATCAATATAATAAATGCTTAAAATCAATGAGGCTTCTTAATGTTCTGTTCTGCACCATTTGCAGTCAGTTTTAGAAGTCCGTTCTACAGTATTTGTCATTTGAACAGGTCATCTCAAAATAGCAGAGACATGGTTTTAGCAACCAGAAAATACTCAGTACATTGCTCACACATCACAAAGACCTTACCAGGAGGGCCAGGCAGAAAATGGAATGTCAGTGGCCAGCACAAGCCTTTACAACATTTAACTTAAGAGGCAGCATTTATAGAACTAATCACAGACTATACACATCCTGCACTCAACAGCAATCAAAAGGACTGGAAAATATACATTTAGGAAAACAAAAGACTGATGGGTTTCCATTACCTCTGTTAAAATGAATGCTTTGCTCCTTGTCTTTTGTTTTAAAACCAGCATTGACACCACCACCAACTATAACTACTTTTTCCTTTAACATAACATATGGCAGGTAACTACTGTACGTGAAAAATGTACAATAAAAGGTGAGAAACCACTGAATTTCCTATGCAGACACATGAAAATATAAAGCCATACAGATTCCAAAGTGCCATGAATGCCAAATTCAAGTGATGGTTTATAGCATGTATGAAAGAAACTAAATGAAATTTGCTCTAAGGGTTGCTGAGCCCTTCAGCTGTATCCTCAGTCTCCCCTTTGGCAGCTTTGGTGAGAATTTCCATCCATTTCATCTGCAGTTCTTCATCTTCTGCACTGAAATAGAGAATTTGATGGGACTGGCAAAGCTTAAAAACGTGCTTCACTTCAAACTTCTCACCGGACCCCGGTAAACTGACTTCGTAGCCAGGCAGAGGGATGGGCCGTGGGCTCCGTGCATCCTAAAGGAGAGAGAGGAGATGTGAGAGCTCTGAGGAGCAGTTTGGGGCAGGAGGGGAGGGCACACGGCGTGGGGCCGGCAGGCACACACTGCAGGAAGCACACACACTCCTTGCTCAGCGGGCACGAGGCACTACCGACTGCTCAGCTTCAACCAGCAAAAAGCAATGACTTTAATCTTGGGCTTTATTCTTACTTCACTGATTTCCTTCCACAGTAAACATGGCCAGGGATTTTAATATCATTTCATGTAACTTATGCACGTGTCTTTTAGAAAATTTCCTCTGCATTAAGTGCAGGCAATGAGATCCAGCAGAGAAGGGTTTGGTGTTGTCCCTTTTGAACATCACTTTTTGTAGGATTGGTTAAAAGGAAGCAAATAAGCAAAGCTGGACCCTGAGAGACACCAAGGCAACTGAAGAGCAAGGGAAAAGTCTTTGAAAGAAAAGACAATTTTTGATTTTCAGTCATTTATGATGCCTTTGAGAGTTGTCAAGGAAGCTAGTGCTTAAATTCTTGACCATCCTTTAAAAGCCAGCTTGACTCACAGATCTAAGGAGCAACATACAGCGCTCTAACAGCCACCTCTTGAGCATCAACCAACTCCTCTCCTAAGCTCTCAAGGAAGACATATTTCAGCAAGGCAGGGTGTGCCATGGCCAAGCAACCTCTTTACCTGTTCCCAGCAAACTGTTTCTAAAGATGAGTCCCCAAACTGAAGTCTGAGTCACACAGGCACCAAGCATCTGTACAAAGCTGTCACCTTCTGTTAGCAGCTGCTTGTGCTGCAGCCCCATACCAAAGCTAACAAATCATCCCACAGAGAAGTGGCAAAGTCACTCTTTTCTGAGCCCCCACACCAAATGCAGATGACTTGGTAAATCTGAAAGAGGACCAAAACTCTGAGAACAATGGCCAAAAAAAGTGCCTCCTTTTCCAACACTTTGTCTAAAGTAATTCAAGTATCAAAAATACTCACATCAATTCAAACACATACATTAACTATATGGGCAAGAAATACAGTCAAAAATGTATCACACTTTATTAAATCAATACAGCCTTCTTGATTTGTTCATCTATTGCTTGTTATTGTCCTGCAAAAATGCCAGAGTCCAACTGCTTGAAGACCAAGCACTATTCAGTGACATTTAAGGCAGCTTTAGGCCAAACCCTAAAGTTACACTCAGTTCCCACTTGAGTGTAACTAGCTGTTCTAAATGCAGCACAGTTTCTATTCCCTGACACCACAGCCACATCCCTATAAACAGGAAGGTCTTGCCCATGCAGAAGAAGTGGCATGTACAGAGCAGCTCCTGCACACATGGCACTGCTCAAGCAAGCAAACGTGGGACTGATGAACACAAATGCACAAGAGCACATGCAAGCTCAACCATGCCTGCTTCACTGGTCTTGGTTTGGAAGAGCAGACATTTAGACTTGTCAAATGGAAAATTGTAGGTTGCCATGACAATGACAAATGATGCTGTTTATAGCCACGAAGTGCACTGTAAGAGCAAATTGATGTTTGAGTTGTATGTGTTGCACCTACCCAAAATGTGCAGACACAGGCAAATTAAGCAGTCTGCCTTTGGTCTTGCATCCTCCCTTAATGTGCTGCTTTTGGTACTTTGTCTGTACCTGCCTGATCCAAAAGGAAGGGATTTACATTATCTCTGAAAAGCTGTACTACTGACAGGTACACTTGGCCTTGAGGAATACCCCACCCCCAATCCAGACTTTTCTTTGGGAGCAGTAGCATCTGTGAATGTCCTTTGCCCCTGAGCCCTTCCCTCCTACCTGAAGCCCAGCAAATCCAGGTGCACCCAGGAGGAATTCCAGCCCTATAGTGAGCATGTAAGTAGGATTTACAGGCCTTACAAGAGAGATGAAATTCATGTTTTAGTTTTAAGAGCCTACCGGATTTGGCTGGTTGGACTGTATTTTTAAAATAATTTTGCATGTAACGTAGTATAACTGCATGATACTGGTATCTCATCAAACCAAAATACCCTGTGCTGAAAGAACTTCACCTCAGGGCTGATTACAATAATTTTCCTCAGACAGTGAGTGAGAGATAAAAATCTAGTGGATGTGTAATACCGTCAGCAATCACAAGCACTGTGCACTCATCCTGACTCTCAGCAGCATGAGAGAAATGAGTTATTTATCTGGGTCATTACAGCAGCATGTATTTATTGATCTGTTACAGCCATTGCAACACCCAGGCTTTAAGATTTGGGAGCAGACAACTCAGTTCCACCACACAGGCAGTTCTGTTTCAGGCACCCCTGCATACAGACATGCCTCTTGCTCTTTGCAGTGTATAAACTCTCTCAGACAACAGTGACCCACCAATGGCATTTCCCCCTCCTAATTCTGAGAGGGCTTAGAAAATCCCTGCTTTTTTCTACCCAAACTCCACTCTTTATCCACTCATCATATAACCCCAACCTTACACAAGTCATTGAGAAACTCCTGTGGGGCAAAGATCTTCAGGACCAAAAAAGGGCAGGCAGAGTTTTGTGCAGGGCTGCAGGATCAAAGGGCAAGCAAAAAAACCCAAACAACTTCTCAAAAACACTGAGCTAAATTTCAAACTCAGCTACTCCCTTATTTACTAAAAGTAAATCACATTTACATGATGAATGGAAGATTTTTCTTCTTTATAAATCAAAATTTTCTCTTGGATCAGGCTTGATCTGATATATACATAAATACACTAGCTCTAGCTATATTAGTTTTACTCTTTCTCTTCCTCCAAAATCCATTACTTTTCCAGCTAGCTTGGAAGCCTTAACTTTGCACATCTCAGGTAAGTTCATGTCAGAGCTTTGCAAGTAGCTATGCATTTTACAAGGCCAACAAGGGCAGAAGGTCCAGGTGGAGCCCTGGAAAAAACTAATTTATCTCAAAACTGCTGCTCCTTACACTTGAAGTGGTCTTTGCTTTATAAGTAAACTCTTTCAATTTCACTGAGATAAACCTGAAAACAGCTGTACAAATCGTGACTCCATTTGAGGACAAATCAAACTGGTATGATTCCCAAACCTAAACAAGCTGGGAATCCTCATCTGTAAAGCCTCATACAAGACTTGAACTGTGAACACTCAGGGGATTAATTCATTCTAAAGCAAAAGAGCAGATTTCTTGCTATTTTAAGTCTGTGAGTCATGTTTCTACCTGCACTAGCATCCCTTCTCTGGCGTGAGGACCAGGGGTGCAGAGGAAGAAGCTTTCACTGTATCCAAAGCTCCAGATTCAGCTTGGTTTGCTCTTTCCCCCCCAGGAGGCAGCCATTCTTTCTGTTCCTCTTTACAATAATCCCCCAACTTTCAAACTTCTACTTTACTCTGTTTCAAGACCTTTAATACTGTTGTTGGCAATATTATTCCCAAAAGACATATCTCAGGCACTGAAATGCTCCTTTGCAGGTTTAAAGAGGTCTGTGACATCTACAGAGGTGGCTGTGCAAAACAGAGCTATGCCTGAGGAAAGAATATTTAAGCACATGAGTGGCTCACAACTGATTCCAGACATTCAGACACCAATAATGAAGCTCTGGAAGAGATTTTCTTCAGAATTGTAGTGTATCCTATGTAAACCAGAATTAACAAGAATGTTGGATTAATATTAATAGGACTTGTTTCCCAATTTTTGTTCTGCAAAAAGCTGGATGCAAATTGAAGTATACAAATGAGAATGGCAAGCCCTTGAAGAAAGGAATAACTTTTGTTGTTTGTAGTCTCATTCCAGACAGTAAATCCTGGTAAGATAAATAACCTTGTCCTTTTTCTTTCTTGACACTTTATTGAGAGATTTATCTCACCCCTGAAATAGCTGAGGACACTAACCACTAAATTTAACTGTCACAGAATTGACTATCAGTGCCAAAGGCAGCCTTTTCCCCTAAAAGAATAAGATCTTACTAATAATATCACCAGAGGCTCAAGATCCAATTTGGCAGGACATGGACAAAGTACACAGCAACTGAAGCAGAGGAGCTCCTCCAGCTTCCATCTGTGGCTTTGCATGACTGTCAGGTGGGGCCTGCAAAATCAAGCATCATTGAGTTTGCACTGAACACAGGTGATTTATGTCCATGGGTTATTACTGGTGCTGTACTGCAACAATCAGTTGGGTAGTAGGAGAAATTCTCAATCATACTTGTAAGGGGTGCTCTCAACTTCTCAGCCTGCCAACTCTTGGATGACACACATTGTTTCTGAGGAAGGTTGTTGTGGTGACACTGGTGGTTTGGGTCTTTTTCCCTAGGACTGAGATTGACAGGAGAGAGGCTGCTTTCTTCTGTTTGGGATCAGCTGTTAATTGTTTTTTATCTATATTATGTATATACAAGTACAAGGAGCTACATCCACTAAGAAAGAAAGGTGTAAAATGGAGAACAAAGAATCTCTTTTAGGTCTTTTATGTGTCTTTATCTAATAATCAAATGTTAAGTAAGTTATTTTTTTTAGTGGCTTAATGTCTTGATGCCTGTGTGCTGCACTGCAGATTTTTTCATTCAATCACTTATTATTACTTAAAAACCCAAAGAAGAAGAGGAAAGAAGAAGGACAAGAAGGAGAAAGAGACAATGCCCGAAAGTCTTCATCTTAGATTTACTTATTAATATAACTAAAACTCCAAACTCTAACTTTTTTACCTAGTGATTTAAGAGATCTCTAACTTACACACTCGCATTATTAGTTTCTTAACTTTAAAAGCTGTCTCTAGAGTTTTAGGCTAAGCTCAGTGCTCTCCCGGGTGTCAGAGCCAAGCATCACAAATAAAGGCCTATTTTCTGTGCCTCAGACTTCAACAGAAGGCCAAAGAATTTAAACTTCTCTCCCTCCCTTCCCACTCTCCTTGCCCAAGTGTGAGACAATCTGGCTTGGTCTGTGTGGCTGCAGGGCTTGCACTGGCCCCTGGCTGAGGCACAGCTTGTGCATCAGTTGAGAAGTTCTGCGGGTGAAGCTGGTGAAGCTGTTCTCTCTGCTTGGCTTTTTAAAGCACTGCTCCTTTCCCCAGACCCTGACTCCAGAGAGAGCCAAAGACTGGATTTGTTGCCTTTGTTTCAGTGCCTTGTCTGAAGCTGTTTGCTTTTCCAGTGTGTAATTTCATGTCCTGCTGGCTAGGAGGGAAAGCAGGCAGCTCACTGCCTGCAGGGTGAGCTGGAGCCTTACCCAGTGTGGGGCTGGAAACACAGAGACAGCCAAGGGGGCTGAAGCTCCAAATTCAAGCTTTCAGTCTCTTTTGAGCACTATGTTTAAAACAATAAACAAACTTGTTTAAAGCCAAAGGTGCTTCTGGTGACAGGCTGCAAAATGAACACAACTCTAATGACAAGGTGTAGTATTTGTTGATCAGATACAGGGTGAGCTTTACTCTGAAATGCTTTATAAAATCACAGGGAAAATTGATTTCCTTGACTGTTCCTAGCCACCAACAGATGCTAATAAAAAGAAAACCTTCTTATCACTACAACTACAGCAGGGTAATGGGTGGCTGAATTCAGTTCCATTCCTCCTTCACACAGGAGATAAAACAAAGCTCTGTATAAATGTGTCAAATGCCAAATGCAAAACTGGATATGGGCAATCTCCTTTCAGCACTGTTGTTCTTCAATGCTAAGGAAGCATGACAGATATTTCTAGCTTGGATATAGATGTTTCTATCCCTTGACTTTCATCCCACACAAATGCTAGCTAATTTCAACGGTACATTTTGAGACAAAAAAACTCTTATCAATGTAAGTATTTCAAGCAAAGATAAAACTCTATGATGCTATGACAAGGAGCTTCTTAATTTTTCAGGCTGAAGAACATCTACATTTTCACAAATTCCTCTATCCCATCAACCCAGAACTAGGTTTGTTTTTTTTTTTAAAAAAAAGAAGCTTGAACCAGCAATTCCAGCAATTGCAATATCCAGCCTCCTTTGGAATTCTATATATTTAAGAGGAAAGTGCTTTCCCTAATGACAGAGTAATAAAACCCTTGACCACACCTGTCTGAAACCTTAAAAAAGCTAAAGCATAACCTAATTATTCTTGTTTTATCCTCTTTTTTTTTTGCTAAATATTTGAATGAAAAAGCAATGAGCTTTAACATTTGTTCACAGCTGTATCAGCAGTAAGTACAGGTAACAAGGTAACCTAAAATCTCTGAGGCTTTGTGCCAGATCCAGAATAGCAAATTCAGTTCTGTTGTTGAAACCAAGCCAAATCCTTTGACCCATTTCTCAGCTCAACATATTTAAATTTAGGCTTTCCTTTTCCTGTGTGTTAACCCTTGTGAATGCCATCTTACCTGGCTGCTGCCTTGCAGATACAGAACAAGAGGCTCATTCCTGGGGATGGTCACCCACACTTTGTACCAAGTCTTCCCTTTCTCAAGGAACTGGAGGTAGCTGCTGAACAGGCTGTTTTCAGCCGCAAGGATGCTTTGCTTCTGGATGAGGGGGAAAAAAACAAAACAGAGTTGTTTCCATTTCTGTTTAAGTGAGCAAAATACTTAGAATTAAATAAAAAATACTCAAGTGGTGCAGAGTCAAATAACTCTTGAGGGCGAATGTTGGATAGGCCATAACTAAATAAAAATTAATAATTATTGCATACAATTAAGAAATAGCATCATTCCATGTGACAGAGGCTGAACCACCATTCCCAGCAGACATGAAGCTAAATTCAACTTCCACCCAGTAAATTGGTAATTAAGATGATGCAGCTTATTTCTTGCTTAGCAAAGTAGGCTGGGAGATTACTTGAAATTAATGCTAAGGGATCCTCTTGTGCATGGATGGAGCCAAATCAGAGCACAAAAAAAAGAAGAAATTGTTGTGTACTGATAAAAGCAAAGAAAATCAAAATTCCTGTTTGCATTAGGATTTGCACGGAAGTCTCCTGAAGATCTCTGGCAGCTGCTAATAACATTTAAGTGGCAGTCTCCTCAGCTGCTACTAAGCTTGTTAAGAAAGTTTAATGTAAATAGAAGGGAAAGAAAAAGCCTGACTCTGATCTTTTCTTTCTATACACTGGCTTTCTTGCATTTTATCTCATCCTTTCAAGATTTAACAAAAAAAAACGAGCAGCCTGAGTAGAGGATGGGAAAATGACACACTTTTCCTTGAGTTTTTACAGCTTTTTGCTGTAATCTGCTTCCTGAAGTAAAGCCATGGGTCCCATTTCACTGGTTTGCCTCTCAGCTTTTCAGATTAACAGGGCTCTCTCTTCCTTGTGTAGGTGCAGGTTTGCCCCTGAAGCTTTTCTTATGGAAAGAGTGCTGCAAAATTTGTTATGAGATACCACAGAGTTCATTGGCACCCATGGAGAGCTCATAATCTGTAGGCACAGCTGGAGTACATATATCACAGAATCACAAAATGGCTTGGGTCAGAAGGGACTGTAAAAACCATCTCATTCCAACCCCCTGCCACAGAGGGGAATAGCTATATTCCACAGCATTCCACATGTATACCAGATCTGAAGGCTTTGATGGGGTCAGGCTCCAGCTCCAGAACTTTCTCTGCACTCTGCAGACCTGGCAGCTCAGGGCAGAGCAAGGCAAACCTGCAGCTTTACCCCACTCTATTGCTGAGATCTTGGATGTGTTTGGGTACAAAACTGACAAAGCCCCCAAACAAGAGAGTTGCTACATGAACTAAGAGTGAAAAAACAGATCTTATTTTTTGAACAGTTACTGTGCACAGCTCAAGATTGGAAATACACCATAACAGAAAGCAGTCAGAGGGTTTTCCTTCTTTTTTGTGACTTTGGAAGCTGAAGCTTAGCTGCCAAATCTGTGTGCATCCCTGTGTGACCAGCATCCTATGATGAACGCTCACCATCTACCATCAGCATCCAGGCTGCAGGTGTGTTCAATGAGAGTTACAGGTCAGAGGATTAAATATCATGGTGAGGCAGAAAAGAAAACAAATTTCATAAGTTTTTAATAAATACACTAAAAAAAGAGAGCCACACAAAGTTTCTTAGGCAAAGACTGTACCTCTGCAGCTAGTCTTTTCTTCTGTTCCCCAACTGCCTCCACCCCAGGGCTGCAGGGGCTTGCTGGGAGCTGCAGGAAACACTCTTTACACACTCGATTATGGCGGCTGTTATCTGCAAGTGCCTTAAACTCGGAGCATTTTGCACAGATCACCTGGAACAGACAGATGGTGTTTAATTAGCCATGTTTAAAACACAGCCCTTTATCAGAGAAATTGACTTGCAGAGTGGTTGTTAGTAAAGCAAAATTCTATGAAAGCTAATGTAAACTTAAGATAGAGAGACCAGTATAATATTCAGTATATCTACTTCCATTAATAATTAACATGTTTGTGATCCTATGCCATATACCAGAATACCAAATTAAAGAAAACTAATGTCTTTGGGGAAATACTGTATGACTAACATCATGCAAGTTTGCTTTTCTTGTCTTTTCTTATAAGACAAAAAGAGCTTACGTTTACAAAGCAATTAGTGCTTTTTAATGGTCTAAGAAGGACTGATTTTCAGAGTGAAAGTGGCTGACATCTCTCATCAATCAAGGACATCCTGGAGAACTGAGGAATCTGGAAAGCACCAACTATTTTAAGAACACAGTCCAATATATTATCCATTACAATTGTTTGTGTGCCTCAGCTGCCAAGAGCATGCAGTGGGCACATTGGGCCTGAGGAATCAGTGCTTGGAGACAATGCTGGATCTGCAGCTCCAGATCCTGTTTTCATGCTAAAAACTTGTCTCTAATACACCTGCTCCAGGGAGAAAAACTGTCTCCAGGGTGTCAGCCTGCTGGACATCCATTCTGAATTTCTGTACAATAATAACCACAAACCTGCAGAACACATATATGTTGTTACATGGTTCACTGTAAGACTTTAATTACTATATGAAAAGAACTGCCTTAATTCAGGAAATGTTACCCAAACAAAAGCAAGACAGCATTTTTAGCAACATGATAGTCATTCATTGAGACAAAATAACTTTAATTTGAATGCTATTACCACACCACAAGGCATTACACAACAAACAATGGTTTAACAATAAATTATTAATGATGTAATTCTTGTTATCTCCCTGCTCCTGGGGGAAAGCCATTATTTAATTTCTTTAGTAACACTGTCTTTGCAAGGGGATATTTTAAACACCCAGAAATGCATTTCATTGTTTAAGCAATTATTAATAAAAATGAACCCAGAAGGTTGAAAATCCCAGCTCTAGGGTAAAAATGCCTCCTCCACAGCAATTTAATTTCAATTGCTGAGATTGAGGTTTCTTTAAATATCTTAGCTATACATTTAAATCTCTCTGCAGCTGAAAATTTATCTCTACTTCAAATTACTACTGTTATTTAAATAACATTTCTCTTAGTTACATTAGGAACACTGAATGAGGTTTCAAGTCATCTTGCAGAAATCCATCTCATCTTGGCCATGGTTATGATTTACAGGAAAAAAAAAACAAAGGGAATTCAGCCATCAATAAATGGCTCTAGAGGAGGTGGCTGAGGGCCTTCAGTAACTCAGCCTTGCCTCTCTGGAAGAGATTTGCTTTGGTTTTTCAAGCAGGAGGAAAACACTTTTGCACAGCCTTTATTTAGGGAAAGAAATGCAGAATCACGGAGTATGCTGAGTGGGAAGGGACCCACAAGGATCACCAAGTCCAGCTCCTGGCTGCACACAGGGCATCCCCAAGTGTGACAACCTGTGCCTGAGTGTTGTCCAGACTCTCCTGGTGCTCTGGCACGTTTGGTGCTGTGACTGCTTCACTGGGGAGCCTGCTCCACTGCCTGACCACTCGCTGGGGGAAGAACCTCTTTCTAATATCCAACCTAAACCTCCCCTGAAACAACTTCAGGCCATTCCCTCAGTTCCTAGAAAGACATCACAGAGAAAGAGATCAGAGTCTGCCCCTCCTCCTCCTCTCAGAGGAAATTGTTGACCCCAGCAAGTCTCCCTTCAGTCTCCTCTCCTCCAGGCTGAAGAGAAGAAGTGCCCTCAGCTGCTCCTCACCTGGCTTAGCCATTTTCATTGCCTTCCTTTGGTGATGCTCTCTAATAGCTCAATACCATCTTTAATATTGTATGCTCAGCTGTTTATTTTAGAAGAGCTGCTGTCTGGGTGAAGTGAGGCTGTCTGAAGGCCACTGCTTCTGCAAACAAGTTACAACCCCAGATACACACCCACCTCCAGGAAAAGCACCATCTTTCTTTCTATCCACTGAGGCACTGAATTTGCCTTTAAACCTAAACACAAACTAGGACCCTTGCACCAGTTTTGCTCTTTTCCCCCCGATAATGAGAGAGTAAAGCAAGTGGAAAAGCCTGCTCTGATGACTTGCCATGAAGCAGAATGCCTATTAGTCTCTGGACTGAAAAAATAAAAAATGGACTTCAATGGTGTCTGCAGAAGAAACCCAGGAGCTGAGCGTGCTGGGATACTTACTGCCCCACACTGCTTACAGTGGTGCCGCCTCTTCGTGATGGAGTTAAAGCTCTCACTGCAGCTCTTACAAGACTGTTTCTCTTTGTCTCGCTTGGATTTGGAAGATTTCCTAGAGGAATCACTCTGAAATTAAAAGTACAAGTATGTGATTAAAAAATAATAATTGGAAAATGACAAAATTGTTCATGGAGTTCCACTGACAAAGATGGGGTTCACTCCTTTCTAGGAAAGAATCTGCATGACTCTGCTGCTTGTCTCAGCTGGAGCTCTCGCTCAACCATCAGGGGTCTTGGGGGGACATTATGTGATCTCAGCCCCTCTCTGCCCACTCATATCCTTACTGCCATGGAACAATCTCTTCTCCCTGTCTGTCAGTGGGGAGATGGAGAAATGGCCTCAAGAAAAAGCTTCCCTTCCAGCACTCACCTCTTTCTTTTTCAAGGTACATGTTGACTTTGTGAGTGTGTTGTAAACTTTCCTCCCTTGGTGGGGAGGAGATGTGAAGATTTTGGGGAAAATGGCTTGACTGAAGAAATAAATGGTATTGGGAGTGGACTTTGCACCATCCAACTTCAAATGCTTAATTTAGGAGTTTTCTTAGGCTCCCTCCCAGCCCAAGATGAAGCATAAAACTCCTCAGGAAGGCAGGGACACCCACACCAGAAACATCTGCATTATCTGCTGTCTAGGTGGCCAGGTAAGGTTAGCCTCTAAATCCAAACTGGTACCTAAAGTCACTCAGCAAACACTATTGGACCATTTCCTGGTAAACAGAATATCATTACTGGATCCAGCATAAACTGGACTTGACAAGCCTGGAGGTGTTCAAGGCCAGGCTGGATTCAGCTCTGAGCAACCTCATCCAGTGGAAAGTGTCTCTGCTCACAGTGGGGGCTGGAATGAGATGATTTTTAGGGTCCCTTTCATCCCAAACCATTCCATGATTCTGTGATTAACTTGCCAACGCAATGTTCAGATCACAAAAACACAAGGCACTGTATAAAGATGTCTTTAAGTGTTTGATGAATGCCAGCAATAGTTCACAGTATTTCTCAACAATATTGTCAGAATACAGTGAGAACATGAGTTTGAAACATTGTTGTTGTAGTTGCAGAAAAGATAATAAATATGAAAAAGTCTTTATTACTTGGCAAATTCCAGTGAGCTATTTTAGAAGAAAGACTTTTTCAATAATACGTTACTTAACTGCTGACACTGAAAAAGAATTTAAAAAAAACTTCTGTCCATTCCTGTGAAAACGAGGAGACCATCCTGCACTGGAAGTGCCCTCATCCCACCCAGGGATGGTTCAGGTGACCTTACCACATGCTCTTAACACATCATCTGAACAGAGGGGCTTTTGTAACAAACAAGGACATGCACTGTAACTCACATTGTCCATTGTGGATAAATTTAACAGTCACTTTGCAACTGTGTCCTTTATTACACAAGCTACTTTATTTATTGCTGATGCCTTTTAAAAGGGGTGATAACACAGAGCTGCCTTCACTTCAGCTTCTTGATACTAATGAGCTTGAATAATACACTCACATAAAATCTGTTCAGAGCCAGGATCTACTTCTTTCACACCAGGCTGCTTTGACTGCTTGCTTTTACTCTACTGCATTTAACTCTCTAAATCATGACAGTTTCCTCCAATATTAAAATTTTGATGGAAAAATGGAATATAGCCTAGCAAGAGGTACAACTCATGTAACTGCATGATGAAGGCCTTCTTAGGTGAGCAGACATCTGAACTTAGTGAACTTATGCTGCCTCCATTTGCTTCTGAAATGCAGGAAAGAATCACCAAAAAGCTGGTAAGAACAGCAAGAAAACCAGTGGGCAGCTGTTATCATTATTTATTACTCACTATATCATTGAAGAATCACACAGTCCCAGAATGGTTTGGGGTAGTAAGTGACCTTTAAGCCCATCCAGTCCCATCCTGCCATGGCAGGGACACCTCCCACTGTCCCAGGCTGCTCCAAGCCCTGTCCAGCCTGGCCTTGGGCACTGCCAGGGATCCAGGGGCAGCCACAGCTTCTCTGTGCTCAGGTATTTCATTCTGTCTGGCCCAGCAAGTAGAAATTCAGCCCCAATGTTGTTCATGTACTCATAAATACTGTCTGATGAGACTCTTACATGAGCAGACACATGAGCTACAAAGCAGTTTTAGTTATTTTCCTTCTCATTATTCTCTTACAGCTGTATTTTCCATTTATAAATTAATTACTTGGAGTAACCCACAATGGTGTAGAACATCAGCAAGTGCTTCTGGAAATGCTTACTATAAGTGAAAAATTATATTAAATTATATAGCGAATTTTGTACTTTGTAACCTTTCAGTTTGTTTCTCTACATGCCAACATTATACATGCAAGACTACATGTAAAACCATTTCCATAGGCTCATATTTCCTCCTGCACACAGAAGTCTGAGCATAACCTTCACCAGCAGCGCAGAGCAGCAAGACAATCCAGCAAAAGGTGGATTGACGTAGAGATGGAGATGATCCTTCCTGCAGTAGGATTTCACTGTCTGCTTATGCAAATGCTGAAGAAAACCCCAGAAGCCTCTCAAGCAGGCTGGGGAAGAACAGGAAGGCACTCCCAGTTCTCTGGCCACCACCACCACCAAGTGGTTTGCACGTGAAGCTGTTGAGCACACCATGCATTGCTTGTGCTCTCACTGAGCTGCTACTAAAGGGATGGCAGCACTAAAAATTCATCTTTTCTGAAGCTGCAACTAACATTTTCATTATTCTCATTGATATTATCCATTTTTAGCAACATTAGAGCCCAGAATCAATACTACACAATTTTGGGTATTTTTACCTTTATCATTTTGATAACTCCATTTTTATTTCTATGTCAGAAATTAAATTTTTCTTTAAATGCATGATTTAAGGAAAATTACTTAACATACCAAGATATGCTATTCAAATCACTGACACAACTATTTATAATCAACTAAAAAGATACAATTTGTTAATTCAATTACAAATAAAATTTACATTTCCTGAAGATACTTAAGACCAACCAAAATTTTTATGTGGGTTTGGGTTATTTTAATACTATAAAACATCCATTTTTTTTTTTTTAAGTAGCCCACTAAATACAGCATCTGTAACTCAAGGCACAAAACACTAATCACAAAACTGACTATAAATAAGGAAAAGATTGTTTAGTGAAAATATGAAGTAACAAAAAAAATAACCAGTAAGAAGCACACTAATCACAAACACAACTTGCTTTTTGTATAGGTCAGGTTTCTGGCTTGTCTAATGGCTTTGCATTGACACTGTGCATTCTACCAGAAGGTTCCAAGCTTGGCCAGAGGTCTGGTGGAGCTGCTAAATGGCTCCTTTGTTACTAAAATAGCCATGCTAATACATAACATCCTATAGCATGTCTCTACAGGTAAGGGTATTTTTGGTGGTTGTTCTTGTTGAGGCTAATTTTCAGTAGATTCAACCAACCCTAGGCATTTCCTGAAAGTCTTTTTATCTAGAAGAGAGAGATAAGAATGATAAAAAATAGACCTTATTAAGGTGTAACCCTTGGGTTTGCCTCAGCAGCAGTCATAGCAGTTTTACTGAGCAAAATGAATAATACCCTTGAAAGACTATTTTGCTTTTGTGGCAGCCAATGTTTTACAGGCCAGAGACATACAAAAATACTATCATCTCTTCCTCTGCACTAGCAAAAACATGGAAAGCATACTGTGGAAGCAGTGATACTCAAAATTTGGCTCTGGAGGAGAAATTCAGAGTTACACAATACAACAGCATTAAACACATAGGTTTTCTGGTATCTTTTTTCCCTTCTTCCTTCAAATAATCAGTGTAACTCCCTATCACAATTTAAACACATGCACAAAAAACCAACCAACCAACCAAAAAACTACAAAAAAATCCCCAGGAAAAACAAACAAACAAACAAAGCTCACACAAACCTCCCCCCTCTCCAAACCCAGTGCTACAAACTGAAGGAATCAATTCTGATGCAGCATATATCCACTACCTGAGCTATGTTACTTTAAGAAGTTTCTGCATGATTTGAGAAGAAACCCCCATGCATCCAGCAGTTAATAAAGTCAGCTTTCTAACCCAGCAAATTGGTTGGAGAGGTTATTTGCTGTTTTTTGTGACACATCTGAGCAGGATTCAAATTCCCTTATGCTGCAAATGGCGAAGGAGGGGCCCAGCACAGCATGAAATCCAACACCTGAAATCCAACACCAGAAACCCAGCACCTGAAATCCAACACCTGAAACCCAACACCTGAAATCCAACACCTGAAATCCAACACCAGAAACCCAGCACCTGAAATCCAACACCTGAAACTCAGCACCTGAAATCCTACAGCTGAAACCCAACACCTGAAATCCAACACCTGAAATCCTACACCTGAAACCCAACACCTGAAATCCAGCACCTGAAATCCTACACCTGAAACCCAACACCTGAAACCCAACACCTGGAATCCAACACCTGAAATCCTACACCTGAAACCCAACACCTGGAATCCAACACCTGAAATCCAACACCTGAAACCCAACACCTGGAATCCAACACCTGAAATCCAACACCTGAAATCCTACACCTGAAATCCAACACCTGAAACCCAACACCTGAAACCCAACACCTGAAACCCAACACCTGAAACCAAACACCTGAAATCCTACACCTGAAATCCAACACCTGGAATCCAACACCTGAAACCCAACACTGTGACTGCCACGGCCACTGCCCATCTGCAGGCCTGGTGAGATTTAACACTGTCACTGCACAGATGAGACCTGCAGACCTTGATCTCCCTCCAGGGACAGAAAAAGAGTGATGACACATAAAAAGACAAAACACCAAGGTCAGTAAAGAAAGAGTCAAGCCTCAGATGGAAGAAGAATGAGGAGATGCCCTAAAGGGGCTGAAATAATCCTCTTGGTAGGGCCATGGAGATGGACAACGATACACTGAAATATCCCCTTTAACTCATGAGAGAGTATGGGGGGATGGAGTATTCAAACTGTAAACGTGACAGAGGCATCCACTGATGAAGCCAAGCAGATGTTGGAGTAGCTGTGATCCCATGAGAAGTTTGAACAGAGAGAGAAATGAGAGCTGATGAAGACCCTTTGGCCCACAGGGAGAGAAGAAGAAAACCTCTGTTCCAGAGATGATCACAGAGACAGATGAAGAGAACCTTTGCCTTTGAATAACTCAATCTAATACCTCATGAGTTCATGGCCCATGGACACACCTCTAGGAGGGCTGTGAAAAATGGGAGGAATTTCACGTTGCAGAACTTTTCCTGGATGGCTGCTATTCATAGGAATGAAAAGCCATGAGAAAACTTTCTTGTAGAGAAGTCTCCATAGTATGACAAGAGAAAACTCCTCTCCCTACAAGGACTGATGAAAGACTATTGTATAGTTGGTACTGCATTAAGATCCCAGGTTTTGTCTTTATGTGGTCAGTTGAGAAAGGAAAGAAGTTGGGCAGGGGGAGAAAACGAAGTTTTACTCTGATGCTTCTATTTCTGTAGTCCTGTTAATAAAGTTTCTTCATACCTTTTAAATTTTAAGCCTGCTTTGCCCTTCTCCTAATCTGGATCTCTGCAAGAAATGAGTAAGTGCCCTGGTGATTTCAGCCAGGGCTAAAACCCACCACAATTATTGGTGTATTGGCTGAGAAACTCAAATGGGCAAATCTAAACCACTACACCTATAAAACCTATATTGAAGTATGATTTTTTTTCCTGCTACAAAACAAACTTAACCCACCTCCCAACACTGCTCTGAATAAAGTATTAGCTTCAAGTTACTCACCCCTCCTAATGCACCACCACCATCTGCTCCTGGCATTGATTCCACTGAGCTGGTGCTGGCTATCTGAGGAGAAACACAATGACACACAACAGATTCAACATGGACATTCATCCTCAAATATATTAAACACTGAAAAAAACAAAACAAAAAAACCCTCCCAAAAAACCAAAAAAATCCCACCAAAAAAGCTACACCCCCATAAAAACCCAAAACAAAAACCAAGGGAGGGGGGAAGAAAAAGACTTTGCTTTCAGCCCCTCAACTCTTTGCTTGTGAGCAGAGTTTAATTCAGATTGCAGAATCATAGAATAGTCTGAGTTGAAAGGGACCTTAAAGCTCATCTTGTTCCAGCCCCCTGCCATGAGCAGGGACACCTTCCAGCAGCCCTGGTGCACATGTTGCACATGTGCTCAAATATGAGGTGGGCTCTGATGTTGATGATTTTACAGATGGCACTGAATTGCTGCAGAAAGCCAGTGCCATGGTTTGAAGGACACTTCTCTACTGGAGCCTGCCAGCCAGACCAGCAAGGGCTCTGTGAAGGCACTTTATTCTGAGAGGAACAAAATTTATTCCAGTAAAACATCACTCTGTTAAGTTTCTCTTCTTCACAATACATCTCAATCCCTAAATAAATACAAAATGGCATTTCTATTTGTTCAGTTATAGTGATGCATATGTACTAAAGGCACATAGGTGTTTGTATATCTATATATATTCCTATAGAGTCCATATATATATATATGTAATATATAATATTCATATATCTATATGTATGCCATATATTTAGATATATACACATTCAATAGTATTGAAAACATACAGAGGGCAAAAAACAAGCTTTGTACATTAAGTACCAAAATCATACATTCTAAAAAGAAAGGAAAACCACCTTATCTGTAATTAATTTACAGGGAGTTTGCTAGTTTACACGGGGTTCTCAAACTATTAGATTCTTTATGATAAATTCTCCTGTTGTTTCCATAGGTAATTCTTCCTTTGCCAATCAGACAACATCTCTAATTTCAAGATAATCCAAATGGCCAGTGCATTTTGGCTTCATTTCATTTTCAAGCAAGAAGGTTTAATCTCTGTTTAAGTGGCCAAATTAATTCTGATGCCTCATTGGATCTATTTATATTCTAATAGAATCAATCAACTCTTTAGAACAAGGAAAGGAACATATGCATCTCCTGGGGGCAGGGCTGTGCTGACCTAGAGCACTTCTTCAGGGAATTTGACTGAATTAAGGGAAGCACCACTACTCAGTTCTAATCACCTATTTCTGCCTCTTAAAACACCCAGCAAACCTAAGGCATTCACATCATCAGTTCCACTGTCCTCTGCAAAGGGGGTTCTTTTCACTGGAATCCAAATCAATCCAGTGTTTTACTCTCCCTAGTAAAAGGACACCTGTGCACTGTGATGGGTCTTGGAAAAAGAAATGTGGAGAAAAAGACATTTTCTCCACAAGAAATGTGGAGAAAAAAAACACAGTTTGAAGAAGAGCTCAAGAAAACCCCCAGCAAATTTAGGGAAGAGTAAATTTGTCCAGTTGCCTATTCAGATCCCCATGTCTGTCTGTTTATTTGGAATAATGGGCTGAAAATCAAATACCCTCTACTCTTACCTGGAAAATATTTCAAAAGGGCTTCTCCCTGTTAAGTTACCATTACCACTCACAGTGTCTCAAATCTGGTAAGAATACAGTTATTGACATGTTTGTCAGAACCACCCCAGATCTATGGGGAAAGAAACAGCAGAGGGAATAATGATGATTCAGCATCTAATATTCGTAATTTAACTAACAGAAGCAGTCTCAGTCTCAAATCCTAGGGATGCCACTTCCACAGAGCTCAGCTCTCTGCAGCACTTTTCCTTGCCAGCCTTCCAAGACTGCACAAGCTGGGTCCATCACCACACCAGGAGCTTCCAGCTCTTCTGAGATGAAGAAATGGTAAAAGAGGTCCTTTTCCTTGGGAACATTTTTAGACAGCTTTTAAAAACACCTTTCACATAGCCTGGAAATGCTGCAGGTAAAAATGGAGAAACTAAACCACATGGGAACCTGAAAGCTTTCTAAAAAACTTTTTGAAAAGACAACTGCTACCATTACCCTGCCTGGCAATGACACTGGCAATTGCTCTCCTGACAGCTGAGAGTTCATTAATTGCTGAAGACCTGCACTGCCATAATCTTAAGAGTAGGTAAAATTTCACATCTCTGCACCTCCCAGAAAGCATAAGTTTTCTGTAGGCAGATTTCAGGCTGACACCAACCCTGAATGCTGATATGAGCTCATGTGAGTCAGCAGGGAAACACAAGCATGGTCAGAGTTGCATGCACTGGTCATGAACTGCAACCAGTCCTAAGCACTGTAACAGAGAAAATATATGGCCAAGGATGGGAAAAAACCAATCTGACTCTTTTTTACAGGCTACTTTCTAGTACCTGTCACAGATTCAGCCAGGAATCCACAAGTGCATATCTGTTTCTTGACACATAAGAGGAAAAAAAAGGGTTACTTTCTCCTCTAAAGCTGCTGCCCAATATTCCATAGATGTCTGGTGGATGCTACCCAGTGCAGTGCATTGCAGTTAGAATGTTCTCAGTATTTGTCCAGTTTTCTTCACAGAAGAACTTTCAGCTCATTTCAACTGACAGCAATTACTGTCACATTTAGCTGTGACATCAGTTTCAAAGACGATTATTTAGAGAAGCTAATGTCCTAAAAATGCAGGTTAGTATTCTGGCATTAAAGAAATTACAGCATTAATATCACAGCCAGGGATAAACCAGACTCCTGCTCTGTTTGGCTTTTATGAAGTGTATAATTATGTAGCTACACCATGAACACAGAAGCAAAATCAAATTGAATTTACAAAGCAAGATAGTAACAATGAACTTGACCAGATGCTGTTTCTTAATTACATAGAAAGAAGTGTGCCTATTAGCTAGCTTACTAGCAAAAGATTTTTTTCCATCAAAACATCCTGGCTCTGAATGCAACCATGAATTAATGGAAAAATAACGGCATGAATGGATTATTTTCTAATTTTTTCCCCACGTATTTTTAGCTGATGAATATATCAGGATAAGTAAACTATGCCAGATTCTGAAAATGGCTCATTGCTGGTTGCTATCAGTAGAAGGATTCTAGACTCTATTGAGATCTTCACTGTCAATCTGATTATGCTGGGATGAAAGGGATATCCAGCATCTCTCCTGAGGCCCCTGGGAAATCAGTCAGATAAAAAATCCAGGTTATTGAGTCACCAAATCAGTCCTGAACCTCCAAGGAGAGATGTCAAAAATGGTTAGGTACCAAAACAAAAAAAAAAAGCCCTAAACAATTTTGGAAGACCAGGGAGGAGGAAGATAAAAAGCTCCAAAGTTGAATCCCTGCAGATGGCCCTTCTCTCCCTCTTCTCCAAGACCCACCATGTCTGAAGTCATAAAGTCACAGACAGCACTGTATGATATATCTAAATATTTTGCTCTCCCAAGCCCCATTCCTCTTTAGTTTGTAGGAAATGCCTGTGGTTATCACCATCATTTTCAAGCTGAATGGAGAGATGCTGTCCTGATGTGAATACTTCTAAAACAAAATACCTACAAAAACACAACACAGTGATTCCTTACGGCTGTAGAGAAACAATTAACTTTCAAGACTATTTTACATATTTAGTTGAAGAGTATTTTTCTGAAATATATTTACTATCTATAAGGCAGTATTTTAAGATCCTTTTAAAATGTGTTATTTTCCTTCCAAGTTTTTAAAATATTTTAAATAATAATAACATCAAAGCAATAATCCCAAACTATGTCTCTGACAAGATGGGGAAAAGTAATGAATAAAACCTCCCAGGGACACAAATAACATTCTAGACAGCTAAGCACTTGTAACATTGAGGAATTATACCTGTTCTGCTAAAAAAAACCACCAGCCTGGAAAACATGCCTGATGGGTCTTGGGCATTGAATTGTCCTGGGTAATTTATTCTGTATCTGCATGGCTTAGTAGCTGTGACTGATACACATCTGAGAGCCAGAGAAATGGAGATGACTGCCCTGTAATGTCATATAAAAATCCAGAACAAGACTCCACTAATTTAAAGGTAGCTGTGCAGTTCTTAACTGTAGGTAAAATTGTTCTGGCAAAGGAGAATGAAGCACTGGTACTTACTGAGGAATCAGGAAGATGCTCCTCCTCTTGTGAAAAAGAGCTATTGAAAGCTCTGAAGGTCTCACTGTTCTGTTTGTGCTTTTCTATTGTGGCTTGAATGACCTGAGACAAAAATGTCAGCAAAAATGAGAAGCATCACAAAAAAAATTTCCCTCATAGGTAGGATTATCATTTGGTGAAAAACCCTTACACTTGTATAAATGAAAGGGAAACTTAAAAACCTTAAGTGGTGGTGCTAAAGCCATTATTGTTTCAGTTAAAAACAAAGACTGCCATCAGACAGTGTCTCCACAAGTCAAACTGGAAGAATATACAAAGTCTCTTTTCATACTGGGCCTGAGGAATGCAGGAAAGGGAAGCCCACTGGAGCCCCCAGACAATTTCTGGGGCCAACTGGTCAGCACTGGGACCCTGACTGAGCTCCACACTTCTCCATGAGCAGCTCCATCAGACTGGCCCACCCAGCTTCCCTGCACAGCCACATTAATTCAGAACCCCAAAATGATGATTTCAAATGCTGCCTGCATGGTGATTCCCTCCTTATCAATGGTGCTTTGTACTAACATGAATCCATTCCTTCTTCTCCTCTTCTGTCCTGTTAAAACAAAAGAAAAATAGAGTAAACATCATCATTCTACTTACAGTATTTTCAGTAAATTCAATTCCCAGCTTCACAGCTTTATATTAATTATATTTTTAGCTCTGCTATCTATTTATAAACATTATTGATAATTCTTGACAGTAATTATTACCAAATGCCAAAAATACTTGAGTTGTTCACACAATGGACCCTACAAGCACTACTATAAACACTGTAAGCATTCAATAAAGGCAATCAACACACTTTGACTTAGGACCAACATTCTCTTACATATCCAAGTTACCCACCTCTGCTGCTCACCTTGTGATTTAAAGTTCTGTCACACTAGCACAGCCCATAGATCAATTTCTCCACACATATTCACAAACCCTCAAAGAAAGAACAAGTACCATACCTGGCTTGTAGTTCCAATGATCTCTTTTTTCCTGTTATGGAAAATGTATGGGCCACATTTTGCTTGGCAATTTCTTGGACCTGTAAAAAGCACATCAGCTTTTTACTCACTGATCTTGTCTTTCCAACTTTTTTAATGACTTACAAATACAGTCATTCTTTGGAATGCTTAGTTGAAAGGATCATTTGGAATAAAGTATACAAATAGAAAAAGTAAGGGACTGTTTCCATAGTTACCTGTCTTGCTACAAAACTTGTGGGTGTGTACCACCACCAAGAGTCCTAGAGCAGTAGGGGGAGAAGGTGGCTCCTGTGCCAGCCAGGGTACAAGGCAAGTCTCTCAATCCAAACATGCCACACAGTCACCATTATTCTGCTCTCCTTTGAATGATTCTTATAAAAATTTTAAAAACCCAACTGTCAGAGACTGAAATGCTGTAATTTATGTCTTAAACATCTTCATGAAAGACTTTGGCCTGTTATAGCAAAACTGTACAAAAGCTGCAGAGAAAACCACCAAAACCCTGACTGGAGCCCTACACAGCTAATGGATGAAGATAAGATGAAGTGACTCAGGGGAGAAGAATACATCCACAGAGGGATCAAGCTTAGCACCCTGGGGTGGAGGCCACAGCCTCAGGACTATCAGCTGCCAGGCTGGAACAGACCCTCTCACCAAAGGGCGGGGGTAGGAGAGGTTTTGGGTGTGTCTGGAGGAGGTCTCTGATCAGACAGTGAATGCCCATCCTCAGCTGCACAGAGGAGCTCAGCTGTGGGCCCCTTCACCCTGGGAAAAGCTGCATCCACACCAAGGACAGCAGAGTCATGGCCCATTACAGACCCCCCAAAGAGGTCCCCAGACCCTGCACCAGAGATGATTTGACAGATCACAGAGTTGCAAGGGACAGCATCAAAGTTGCCCTCCCCACCAGAGGCACGTGAGCATTCCCACCTGGCCCAAAGCACTTTATTAATCCACTGGATTCCATATTTTTCAGCAATGGGTGGCAGGGGGACCACCAAGAAGAGCAGATGGAGGGGAGCAATGCAATGCTGTTGGGACCCTGGCAAGGGTGATATGCTTCCACCTAACCCCAGTCACCCTCTCCCTGTCCCCCACCTGTGCACACCTCTTTTTCTATTTCTTTCCTTCTTTTCTCTTAATTTCTCTTAGCCTCTTTTCCTGTTAAATAAAATATATCACTTTTTTTGGCATCAACATCTAACTTTGTTTAGTTTTAATAAGTTTTGGAATATATTTTGAACCTTTCTGGGTTCAATCCATTTTATTCACAGAGGCTTAGTTTCTTCTGGTCTTCTATGTTAAAGCAGTTCGTAACATCAAACAACCCAAAAAACCCAAAAAGAGATAGAATCATAGAATCATTAAGGTTGGAAAAAATCTTTAAGATCCTCAAGTCCAACCATCAAAACAGCACCATCACATTCACCACAAAACCATTTCCTCAGGTGCAACATCCACATGTTTTTTTGAACACTAACAGAGATGGTGACTTCACCACTTCCCTGGGCAGTCTGTGCCAGGGCTGGACAACCATTTCAGTGAAGAAATATTCCCAAATATCCAACCTAAACCTCCCTGGGTGCAACTTGAAGCCACCTCCTCTCATCCTGTCACCCATGAGAAGAGACCAACCCTCGTCTGGCTACACAAACCTTTCAGGCAGTTGTAGAAAGCGAGAAGGTCTCACTCCATAGCTCCAGACGGAATCCCCCCAGCTCTCTCATCAGATTTATGCTCCAGACCCTTCCCCAGCTCTGTTGTGCCTCTCTGGACACACTCCAGCACCTTGAGGTCTTTCTCACAGTGGAAAAGCTGCACTGATCCAAAGTGATCCAAAGCCAGGTGTGAGAATTTTATTCCATTTTTACATTCACATAATGTTATGTGTTTGGATTCAGCAGGGACCCAAAGCTATCAAGGTGCATTAGGAAATGGGAAGAGATGCAAACCTGCAGTCCTGCAATGTCCATCTTCTCTCGGACACTGAACTTCTGGCCGATCAGCCTCAGTTTTGGCACACAGTACAGCACCATGCTGTTAAACTGAAATGAGGCAAGAGTTTAGCTCAGGCACTTACATGCTGCACACAGCCTGCACCGTCAAACTTTAGGGCTCTGGTGAGTTTTATTTTAAGACATAGTTCTCAAGAAGAGATTTAAGGTGAGAGTGAGGCTGATGGATCACTATTGATAGAAGTGGGCAGACACAAACACATCAGCCAGTCACTTCTCCCTTCTGAATTTGCCATAAAAGAGCTCTTCTCCCAGTGCCAGTGAGAGCTGTCAGCAAGGTGGTTTGGCAAGAAACCACCTCCTGTGGCACTCAGCCTCTGAAGAGGGAGATGGAAGAAACCCCTTTGGGCCTGACAAGGCATCAGTGAAGGCACAGCAAGGAAGGAAAAAATAAATTTTTGAGGAAAAAAGCTACAAAACTTCTGCTTAGAAGGAGTAGCTGGGCTCAGCTGGTGGATGCTTTTTGTCTTTAAGCTTAGGAAGATGGAAACATACCAGAGAATCATAGAGTCAAAGGATGGTTTGGGTTGGAAGGGACCTTAAAGCCAATCTCATTCCACCCCTTGCCATGAGAAGGGACCCCTTCCACTAGACCAGTATGCTGTAAGGCCCATCCAAGCTGAGCACAACCCTGAAAATAAAAGAGCAACTAAAACACTCACCAGGAATAAATACCTATCCTGTGCTGTGCCATTCTTTGCTGAAAGTTTCTGAATGTGTCCTTCTTTAATGAGCTCATTGGCTGGGTTAACAATATCCTCTTCACCACCCAGGCGCTCATAGACTTCCAAAAGCTTGTGCATCTTTTCCTGCAGGTACAAACCCCCATCAATTTAAATTTAAAAAAATTATTTCATGTGGTCTATTGCCCACCATTTAATTTCTGTGGTAAGTGTATGTAAGTTGAAAGAAAACTGTCTTCCACTTGCACTATATCTTTGCATTTATATTAAAACCTGTTGCATACTCTTCAGTGCTATTCCCCACTCTGGATTGCTCATACTGGATTATTTATACTTGGATTGTACCATTTAATGACATTTTGAGATAAATTTATTTGATACTTTTAGACTATTACTATTCAATAATAAATGTGTATCATAGAACCATAAAGGTTGAAACAGAACTCTAAGATCAAGTCCAAATATTAATCTTTGGAATTTTAGAAGCAATGTCCAATAAAATCAATGGCCAAATTGGAGACCTGTACATTACCAAATAATGGAAGCGTGATTTATTTTTCCTACTGCACCACAGCAGGAGTGAACAGCCAACAATTAATTCAACCCTCCACTAACTTCTGGAGATTTTGCTACAGCACTCACTTTCCTTTCAGTCTGGCTTGAACCTCAAGCAGCAAAATTATTAAAGTAGCCTTTTCCAATGGGTTCTTGTGTACTAACAGAAAAAGCAACCAAATGCACAGCAACCAATGAGCCAAAGAGTTGTTTCATATTCCTGATAACTGCAGAGATACTGTACACAGCCCCCAAGAAAAGTTGTTAACCAGAAAAATTTCCACCAAAATATGTCCTTATCAAGAGAACATGCCAGACTCAAATAGAAACAGATGGTTTCCTCACTGTGTTTTCAGACATACTGACAATACACAGACATCAGCTGGTTACAGACATAGCAGCCACAGGAAACGTGGTCTCATGGTGTCCCCACCAGCTGGGGAAGCAAATATAAACCTTGTTCCCCCAAATATTCAATGGGTTCTAAGCCAGATACACAGCATTTCAGGCCTGTTTGATACAAAATGTCCTGAGACACCCGGGTGCACCAAAGAGATAACATCTGCAGCTATAAAGCCCATTTATTTTAATGGTAATGCACTGGTTTTTCTACATGTAAAACATGTGCTAATGTCCAAAATCTCCATCTCTGACTGCACAGCTTTTGAAGCACCACTTTCTGAAGCTACTGATGCATGCAAAATGCACATTCTGTACACTTAAGATGAGCCAAAATCAAATCAAATCAACCTTCATTCTGTAGAAGAACTGTAGGACTAAAAAACCAGTGTGAAAATCTGCAAGGACACCTTGTGAATGGGCCTAATTGGAATACTTTCAACACTTTTCAAGGAAAAGCAAATAATGTCTTTTTTGAAGACTTCCTTTTTCAACTCATTAGGTCCTAAAGAAAGAGGGAAGTGGAATTTAAGCCCAAAAAGCCACAGAAAACTGCACTCACAATAAAAAGAACTCAGACACCCAACACATGTTGAAAGCCTGAGTGACAGTCAGATATTCCTCTCCAGTTACTGTACTGAGCCTGTGGCAATGGGAGGCCCTCAGTTTAGCCAAATGTTTCAGTCAGGTCACAGTTCCATTCTGGAATTGCTACTCACCATCTTCCGGATGGCTGCGTTGGAATGGTTTGCTGCTGTTGATATCAGCTCCAGTGACTCTGCAATAAAGGTACCAATAGTTAAGCATTCTCTAGATTATATCTTTTAATAGCACCTTGGGGGATGGGTTCAGTTCTCTGAGAATTGTTTTCCCTTCAAAACTGATGATACATAAGCAATTATAGACACAATCACTTCTGCCTGTTCAGCTGATCTATGTTTCATCTTTCTCTCCTAAAAATCTAGATGAGCCAAAGCACACAGTGACAAAGAACCCATCACCAGTCTTCCCAAGCATATTTTCAAGACTGTTTTCCTAAAATAGGGCTTGCCTGCTTATGGTGACATGGACCCTGTTTTGGCTGAGATCAAAAACTCCTCGTTATCAAGAGAAGTCCATTTCTCCTGTTTCACCATATAAATATAGTCTATCTGGCCTTCTTGGCAAGAAATACACATTTAAATACAATACAAATTTAAAACCATTCCTCCTTTCCTCCTCTGGCCTCTGCAAGGATGTCCTCCTGTCTTTGTCCTTAGCCACATAATTGGTTAAACATTAAAGTGTTAGATGTTTTACTATAGCAAACTTCAACATATTGTTGCTGTTTATTTGCCAAAGCTGCTTTCATTCCTAGAGCAGGCATTCCAACCCTTTTCTTCTCAACTCCAAAAGCATTCAAAATCCCTTTGGCAAAAATTTGATTAATTCAATTCTACATTTCTACCATAGTCCTGGTTGTAAGTATCTGAACATGTGAAGAAAAAAACTGCCCAAGATTTCATTGTGATGTTAGACAGAGAGGAGTTTACATGTACTTTCAGCATCTTTCCTGTCTGGAGATTCTTCTGGAAGTTTCTTTAAGTAGTCCTTCAGGAGAAGCTCATAACGAGGAATCCTTTGCACTGGTTCAAGCATGTGATGCTGCAAAGTCAGGTTTCCACACACTTCCTGTTTCTGTAATGCAGAGAAAACAAGAACAGGAGGGTTTGTTTTTTTCCTGCCTTTGGTGTTTAACAGCAATGAAAAATGACCATTCACATAAAACTAGAGGAGTGTACAGGAGCTTCTCAAGCCATCATGGATCAACAGACTCATTAGGTTGGAAAATACCCATGAGATGATAAAGTCCAAACATAAACATAACACTGCCAAGGCCACCACTAAATCAAGTCCCCAAGTACCACATCTGCATGTCTTTTAAATCCCTCCAGGCGTGGTGATTCCATTACTGCCCTGGGCAGCCTGTGCCAGGGCTGGACAACCCTTTCCATTATGAAATTATCCCTAATATCCAATCTAAACCTTCCCCTGGCACAGCTTGAGGTCATTTCCCCTTATCCTGTCCTTTGTTTCCTGGAAGCAGAGCCTGACCACCCCTGGCTCCACCCTTCTGTTGATATAGGAAAAATTATGTTTATGAAAATTCAGAATTTTAAAAGCATATAAAGTGTAAGCAGGTGGAGGGAAACATAAATATAGCTTATTTTAAAGGCAGAAACAACTTGTAGCAAGAACACATAGGAATGTAACTTGTTAGGTAGAAACAGCTTGTAAAAGAACACAGAGGAATTTAGTTGCTAGGTAAAGGCCATAAAGGTAAGATGTATATTGTGAAAACCCAGTAAAGCAACACACAGGTATTGTGATAAACCCCATAAAGCAAAACCTGTGGTTTAAGAAGCCAGCAAGAACCAGGCTTCTAGTTTTGTCCAGGGCAAACTGACCTGGGAGAAAGCCAAACCCCCACTGCCCCTGCCCAGAGACAGAGGTCAGCCAGTGAACACTGAGGAAGACGTCTTTACTTCATCAGAAGACATCTGCTGGTGACCTCCAGGAGGTGTGGATTCATTATTCATATTCAGACTCATTATAATCTGAAGCAGGAGGTGGAGAATGGGCAGGGAATGGGCAGGCAGGGAGGTGTGGGCTTGTGGGATCAATGTGCATCTGAACCTGAAACCTGTCTCCATCACACAGGCGTGCATGGTGGATGATGCCCTGTGTCCCATCTGGAATAAAACATACTGCTTTACAATTTTAATCGTAAAGTCCTTGTTCCACAACTCACTGTCAGGGAGTTGTGCAGAGCCTGAAGGTCCCTCCTGAGCCTCCTTTTCTTCAGGCTGAGCCCCTTTCCCAGCTCCCTCAGCCCCTCCCCAGCTCCGTTCCCTTCTCTGGACACGCTCCAGCCCCTCGAGCTCTTTCTTGTTGTGAGGGGCTCAGAACTGACCCCAGGACTGGAGGTGGTGCCTCAGCAGAGCCCAGCACAGGGGATGGCACTGCCCTGCTCCTGCTGCCACAGCGGGGCTGGAACAGGCCAAGGTGCCCTGGTCCTTCTTGCCCAGCTGGGCTCCTGTTCAGCTGCTGCCACCAGCACCCCCAGGGCCTTTCCTGCCGGGCCCTTTCCAGCCCCTCTGCCTCAGCTGGGAGCTGCAGGGGCTCTTGTGACCAAGGACAGGACCCAGCACTTGGCCTTCTTCATCCTCAGACCACACTCGGATCCAGCCCCTCCTTCCTGCCCAACAGCAGGTATCAGAGCTAGCAGGTTTTATGTGAATCTTCATCCCATGTCTGGTGTTTTCTGCTGATATGCAACTATCTTCCTTCAGAAGGCTCAGAAAAGCTCTTCCCATCCATGGCCCTGTGCAGCGCTGTTCTCCCAAATACATGGAATTAGAAGGCCCCCAGGGATGTATTGCTTGCCAGAGCTCACTGTATGAGCAGCAGACACACTGCTCACACACCAGCTTTGAAAGGCAGAGATCTCTCAAATTCTACTTCTTTTTCACTAGGCCAAGAAGGGGAGGAGGTTTGAGTCTGATTACACTGAACACCATCCAATAAGGCACCGAGGTGCTCTGCCTACAATGGCACTGAGTATTGCAGTGTACTTGCTTTCATAGGATCCTGTGAAGCGAAAGAGTATTTCTATTTAAAAGAGGAGAGATGACAATCTCAGTAAGAATCAGTTACTTGCTTTAAAGCACACAGGAAGTTTCTGCTAGCTAAGTAATCTGACTCCACAGCAACATGTTAACCACAGACACACACCAGCTCTTCTACACAGCATTATTTTTACATCAGGCCACTAATGTGGTCTGTTCTAGTGTAAACAGCTTCTCTACAACCATGTTAATTTTACTGTGTGTTTCTTAGAGAAAGGAACTTCTTTCAAGTAGCTGCAATTTCCTCATAAATATTCCAGCCCACAGCATGCTGCTGACTTGCTCCATTCTCACAGCAAGGCAGGAGATAATGGGATGAATGTCTGAGAGAAAAATATTGGCTATCCTTCCAGAAGTTCAAGGGACTAAACTTGATAAGTCACAGTCATCAGCTTATAAGTAACATTTGATTTTTGTTTTCTGCTTTCCCTAATTTAACATGATTAGTAACAGTGAATGCCTTAACCTGTATATAATATATACAGTATTCCATTAGCAGCTTAGGTAGACAGTGCATCCCTGAAGGATCACAACACACTCCCAACTGGTATGCTGAAAATATTGTGGCTTTTGATAGTGCAGAGATATGTCAGATGGGTGGTCTAAGCATTCTGGGTCCAATCTCTGCCTCCTACACCTATGATCACTGAGCAACAGAGCAGAACAGAGCAAAAGGTGCTGTGCAGGTGTGATTAAATATCCTCCAGTGCAATTCTGCCATCAGCAGGCTGCCTGTATTGCCAGTGCCCACACTGCCTGGCAAGAGCTCTGCTCAAGCAAAGCTGCCCATGGCCTGAACCAGTGCAGACCGACAGGTGACACACATCATTTGTGTTGGAAGCTGGCTGGTGGGAAGAGACAGGTGAATTTTGGAGAAGGGAGTTGCCTGTGCTGTAGGAAACACAGTCCCAAATGGATTTACCCTGCAGAAAGTCATGGCTTGCCACAAGCTGAGGACAGCAAAACACAGTGCTGGTGTGCATGCCCTTAGTGGGAGCAGGATGGGTACAGGCAGAAAAAGAGTAAGAAAAGGCCATGTGGAGCAGCAGTGTAGCAGGAAATGACCTCCCCCAGTCCCTGCTTCTCCAAACTTCTGTCTGAGTCTCTGACACAGCCCTAAACCTCCACACAGGGCCTCTCCTCTCCCAGCTTGCTAGGGGATTACTTGATTCCCGACAGCTGGCCCAGCCACAGTCATTCAGGCCCCCAGCCCCCATTTAGGGCAGGCAGCTGTGATCCCTGCTCAGCTTAACCCACTCCTTGCCAGCCCTCCCCTCCTGAAGGATGGTGTCTGCTTTCCCAGGACTGGCATGAGTGTGCTGGAGCCTGCATCCCCTCAGCTGGCCCAGGGGATGAGCAGGATAGAGCAGTTTTATGGAGACATTAGCATAACTGGAGCTCTTCCCCTCTCACTGTGCAGCTTTTTGTGTAATCATGAGTAAACACGTGAAAATCTATGTAAAGCACCCTCCTGTGGAGCTGTGATCCCAGGAGCAGTATGCCACTTTGGAAACCTCAGAAAAACCAGGCAAACAGCAGGTGTGGTCAGTGACATATCCAAACTTAAGCACACCCACCTCAGAATGAAAATGTATTTATTAAAAAAAAAAATAAAGTTAGAAATGAGGAAGACAAATCCAAAAGAGTCAGAATTGCTTGGCCAAGGGTGAAGTTTCATTCTGTGATTTCTGATACTCCTCTTAAATCACAGAATTGTGAAATGGTTTGGGTTGGAAGGGACCTTGAAGACCATCCAGTCCAATCCCCCATCCACTGTCCCAGGTTGCTCCAGGCCCCACCCAGCCTGGTCTTGAACACTTCCAGAGATGGGCCACAGCTTCTCCAGGCAGCCTATGCCAGGGCCTCACCACCCTCACAGGGAAGAATTACTTTCCAATATCCCATCTAACCCTGCCCTCTGTCAGTTTAAAGCCATATTAAAAATTAAATTAAATAATAATAAAAAAAAAACAAATAAGCACACTGAATTAAGTGAGGATCTCTCACTCCTGATTCCAGCCAGCAGAAACTTAATTTTTTCCAGTAGGCAGGAGTGGGTGTGGCCAGGGCCCCAGTGTTACTGGATAACACCTCAGGTCATTGCCAGGCTGGAAGAAAGGATCTCACTTCAGAGGAGAAGGCTCCTTATGGTGGAGCAGGTGTGGCACACTGACTGGAGGGAGTGGTTTGGGTGACATGGCTGCAGCTGGATTGAGCTCTGCACTCTCTCTTTAGTACACTTTTATTTTTATTATTAATATTGTTGCTTTTACTGTTTGTTTTCTTATCTCATTGGTGTTTCCAGTAAATTGTTCTTACCTCAACCCACGATTTTTCCCTTTTGTGCCTCCAGCTCTCCTCTTCAGATGCTCCAGGGGAAGGGGCAGGGAAAAGGGCAGAGAGGGAAAACAAAGGAGTGGCAGTGTGGTATTGGAGTCTCTAAACTGTGGAGTATCATTCCTAAACCATTACAATCTCAAGTCTTATTCATACCAATTAACAACATACCTGTATATTCTGAACAACGTCTTTGAAGGGAGAGGAGCGCTGCATACATGTGTTCACTATGTCCATGGCCCTGTCAAAGTTCTTTACATATTCTCCATACATTTTCAGAAAAGGAGCAAGTTTCTGCAGGATATCTCCCAGCCGTGGGTTGACACTCCTATGGTGAAGAGACAGGTAAGTACTGAAATCTCTGGAAATCAATGGTATCTTCAGAGAGAAAACACGGCTGTGAGATTTCCACAGTTGTCTCCCACATCCCAAGCACTTACACATGTGTGCAATCAAAACAGGCTAAGTTTAGTGTAAGGTAATCTATACAATATCCTAGATGAAACTTCCAACCTGAATCCTGATGTAAAAGGGATGGCATTTCTGTCCTCACTGTCTTAAGTGAAGAGCAGACTGACTACATCTACATATCTCTTCTGCCCAGCACAAAATCTCGTGGGAAACTTGTACTTATCAAAAATAACCTTTTCCACCATACTCAAAAATCTGAATTGGTTTTAATGCAAAGAGATGGTTCAGCTCAGATCCCCAGGGGCCAGTAAGCCCAGGCTGAGCAGCATTAGGCACAAATCTCTCTCCTGCAGAGTCATTGCCAGGCAGAGAGCCAGCCATTCTCCCCCAGTCTGCCTGTGCAAGACTGTCTTCAGCCAGCTGCCAAGCTTCTGTCCTCTTCTGACTCCCAGACTCTGCACTTCTCCTCCCCTTTGTTACAGTTATCCCTGCAAGTGCAAGTCAGGCACTCATTTATTCCTTCTGACCACTGATGAGCATGTGAAGACTGGACTCAGCCAAGAGAGAGCCAAGCCCTGGTGCTGTCTTGGTCACCCAGGGTACCTGGGACTGCAGGACACCATGCAGCCCATTTGTCACCCCAAATTTGGTTTCCTAGATCTGACTTACAATTAACCTTTCTACCTATCACTGCATTTCTGCCTTATCTACAACTTACAGAATCATTAGGGTTGGAAAAGAGCTCTAAAATCAACAAGTCCCACCTGCAACTTGTTATAGTAGCCAAATTTTATTTGGTATTTGAAAATATTTCTTTCAGCTTTGGAGCCAAAACAAGCAATTTCATTCCTTCCTAGTACTGTAATTTCATAGTACTTCAATAATAGGAGAGTGAGAATGCAGTAAGGAAAACAGCTCTGGCAATAACTTCGAACTGAAAAAGTGCTCACAATGTATTCTGGAAATTTTGAGTGCTCAGGCCTACTCCTTAAGTCAGAAATGTTTGAGAGACTTCACATTAACATATTAAATAACTAATGTAACTACTGCATTAAACAATAAAAAATTTGGAATTCGACTAGGCCTTATGGTCGCTACAGTTTCTTGAAAATGTATTTTGAAAATAATTGTAATGACAGCTACCTACCATTCTTGTGTAATTCTTGTTTTGAGCTCAGGAAGAAGAAATTGTCCATGGAAACAGTAGATGGAAGAAATATTTGAGAAGATGCCTGTTATCACATCAGATGAAATCCCTGCTTCAGACAATTTAGTGCAAAAAACCTGCAGAAGGCAACAAGACAGTACCAACATTTTTTAGCAAAAAGCAGTCCTAGACATGCTGATTTTAGATTGTAATTTTGCAAAGCTAACTGCTTAGAACAGAGCTGCAGATTTTGACCCCTGGTAGCCTTGGAGTCTTCAGGAGGTTCACAAAACTTAAGCCCACTGTCAACCAGGGTTAGATATATCACTACAGGCTATAGAAAAAACTAGGAAAATCTGAGCTGCAATTCAAAAAAGACTGAAATAACTGAGAAGATCAGACATCTCATATTTGGGAGTGCAAGCTGCAAAGAACATCCAGTCCCTGAAAAAGCATTTACTGATGTTTACACAAAGCAAAATTAACCAAGTGATTGGGTTTTTCTCAGTAGGAAAAATTACACTGAACAAAAGGGAAAAAGACATTCCCTAGATTTCTGTGGTCTAGAAACAGTCTCTGTTCATCTCTTACAAACACTGTAAGTCTTCCATAGAGCTCCAAGAGTTGTAGGGTGAAGGGTTCTCCAAGTTAGAGCTTCTAATATTTCTAGCCAGGTGACAATTTTCTCTTTTTTTTTTTCTACTCATTTTTAAAAAGCACTTGGCTAGCAATGTGTCTCATCCCCATTTTTATTTCTTTCCTGCACATTCATGGGTTTTTTCTTTGAGATAATTATAGAAATGACTGAATTGTGTAGCATCAACTCAAAGCCTATAAGAAAGAAAGCTCAGACTCATCACACCAGTTTCACATCATCCCCATGTGTAAACATGATGGACAGCAATTACAAAACACAGCAGTAAAGAAATAGTTTGCTGGAGGCATGGGGCTGACATCTCCCTTCCTGCCATCCCAAACCTCTGGCTCCTTCTCAGAGAACCCTCTTGCCCAAAGCTCACCTCTGGGACCCTCAGCACAGAGCCTGCCAAACAAACTCCATCTTCCACCTACACACAGCATTTCTACTGAGCTACAGCTTAGGCAATGGACAGGAGATGTCATTACTGCCCACTGAAAATAAATGAAAGTTAATTCAAAATGGAATTACCTGGTCCAAGAGATGGAGTCTTTTAACATACGCTTCCTCCGTGTGGAGCAGCTCATTGGCGATGTTGAACAGCTTTTGGGGCTCTGTACACTGAAAAAAAAGTTACAAATGACATAATCCATCTGCACCTCCACGCCTAAATTCCACTAACTGTGCTGGTTTTCATTCTGTCAGTGTCCAAAATCCCTACCAGCAGAGTGAAAGAGGTTAACACATTTCAGAATCCGCTCCACATCTCTCAAAAGATCACTTTGCTCCAGAGACATTTTTAATGTTGTTTTCTGAAAGAGCAATTAGTAATGCAATCAGTGGCTGGTCAGGACATCACTTGAGTTCATTATGGCTTTATAAAAAGAACCAGAAACATCCTCTAAACCTGTAAATAAGTCTAGTCTATTTGAAAAACAAGGCAACAGATTGTAAATCAACTGTTCTCCTTTTTGGACTCAGGTCCTGTAACTAAAATGAAAACCAGGCTATTTGACCAGATTTCTACCCTTGCCAGCACAGCACTACTCTCTATGGCATATTTCTAAGATTTTGTGCAGCTTTAAACACAGGCCAGTTCCCTGGAAAGAATTTTCAGCAAGGTAACCCAAATCACTCAGTGAAGCCTTTCATTAAGCTCATTTTAAAAAAATAAGATGAGAAAAGGCTACTTTAAAACTCTAAATACAGTTATAAAACACTGACTTTAGGCACAGTTCAGCCAAAAGAGACCCTTCACTCACTAAGTGCTTCAAAATACCTGAATTACCAGAATACAGGCTTGAGGTTTCCAACAACCTTTTTAAGTGTTAGACTTTAAACACCATGCCTAAATAAAATGAAAGCAGTCCAGAACAGAGCATTGGCTGGCTTGCATTCAGGAATACAAGCATGGAAAATGGGCAGCAAGGATGATCAAATGTAAGGAAACTACACTGGGCTGGATCCAGAAAAAAAGACATGCAATGAAGAGGTGCATTAATGATTCCTGAACTGGAGAACATTGACTGGGTGCAATTAATCACTATTTCTATGGGAAAACTGAAGGGCATCAAATGAAATCACCAAGGTGCTGCTTCAGGGGCTGCTTCCTCAAGCAACACTGCACTGCCAGCAGTAACCTTCACAGAGATTCACAAAAGAACCAGAAATATCCACAGAGGAAAAATTCAGCTGAAGTCTATTAAACACATGGGGCAATTTCCAGTTCAGGAAGCATCTGGGCCTGACACCAGTAGCTCCATCCCAAATGCCTGTCTCTGGTGCTTGCATTTGGGGCAAGGACTTCCAGATATAACCCTGTGGGTCACCATCAGATTGCTGGAAAATACCAAATAAATGCTCTCTTTAAGCTTCTTCAACATCACTCTATTTTGTTTCCAAATAAATGATGAGAAACATTTAATCACCTGCCCTCCACAAACACACTCAGACAAACTGCAGGACAACTGAAATCCTCAAAGGCTTTTCAAAGCAAGCCATGAACTCCAACAAATCAGACCCACAGTTGTCCTACATGGAATGAGATGTCACTTGGAATGATGCACCCACAGCTCCATGATGTATTATTGAAGGAAAGTGAATAGCTTTCCTTTATTTGAAGCAACATCAGACCTCCTTTGAAGCAAGGAGTGCTCAAATTTGAAGCGCTCAAATGCTTCAGATTTGTGCCTCTTTTTCCAGGCACAAATCTGAAGGTAGGCAAACATTCCATGAGTGAAGTTTTGACATGGAGTCTCTCTGCCCTGCCTCTCCAATTATTCCAAGTCAATTCAATATGCTTTCAAGCTCTTTCAACATGCTACGCAATATCCTCCTCTGTTCAATGTGCATTAATATTTAGGGGAGGAGAAAAAAAATCACAGCACAATAAGTTTTGGAATTGTTCCAAGCAAAGACATCTTATTAAAGTTTACACTGAAGTGCACTGCTGGCCAGTCAAATCCACTAACTACAAGGATTTCTCACTGAGAAAAGAATTTATCTGCTGGTTTTGCTGGGCACAAAGGAACACTCAAATGAAAGGTACTGATGTAACCAGCTGGCATGCCAGCCACCACCAGCACACTTTGAGTTGTTTGAATTCAGAATTGGAAAAATACTTAATTTCCAACCAAATGCATTTGTACTCAGAAGTAAATCTTTACATAACACAGGCGCTTTTTAACCTCCTGACCTTCACCATCTGCAATTCAGTTTATATTTCAAGAAAACTTGCTGACATTTGCTTAAATACCAAACAAGGGCTGAATAGACTCAGCTTGAGCTCAGTTTTACAGAGTGACTCTATCTTCAGTTGCTCTCTCTGCTAGGCAGGGAGACAGGAACACTTTTCAGACAAATTTGCAACATATTTGCCTTTCAATGGGCATAACATTTTAAATGAAACTGTAGATTAATTAAATGTGAGGCAGTCCCATTCTTCTTACTTCATTTTGTGCCATGGCAGGATAGTTTTAACAAAGCCTGAGCCATCATCCAGTTCACTAGGAATGAGATATTTCATGGTCCATGTTTCTAAAGGAAAAGATGAATCTGCAAACTGAGATTATGCTCTGCTTTGTGCAGTGCTCCTGCCACAGCCACAGCATCTCCTGGGCAGCCATCACTAGGACCTCACACCTGCTGCAGAGGCTGGGTGGAACTGTGTGGCTGGGGGGGTGACAAGAAGGATGAGAAAACTGAAGTGTTGACTTCATAACACAGAAAGTTCACTCCAGTGCTTGAAGCAGCACGATGCACTTTCACTTCTTTGTGGAAGATTCAAAAATTCATTTTCAGCTGCAGCTGTCCATAAAGCTTTTTAAATAAAAGGAAACAACAGCCTGAAATCAAACAGAACCAGTTTCTCATGAAGGTCAGATTCATACTTGGAATGCATTTGCGCCTCAAATCTTGCAACCATTTTTCATACAATGGGTGTGCACAACTACATTCAGTCAGCATCTGTCTCACACAGGGCTTTCAGCAAATCTTGCAAGAGAGCTGCTGGGGTAGAGCTTAGGTTAAAATCATACATGATTATGCTTCAAAATCCCACCAGTCAGCTCTGCACAGAACACAAAAAGTCTCAGAAAGATTATAGACCACTTCCTACTCAACAATTCTGAAAACAATATGGAAAAGTTATCCTGTGCTTGGTTGTCCTTGTTGCACTGAAATCACATTTTCATTAACATATTTAAATCAAATATGATGATGATGATGGCATATCTGAATTTTCTCAACCAACATTATGACTAAAACATTGACATATGGACTTTTTTTTCAGAATATACATGGAGCTAATCTCACCCAAAGATCTGAGTAGCAGGACTGCAGGCCAAATTTTACAACACACACTGCACTATGAAATCAGATGTGAAACTCCAGCCATGGACATGCAGAATGGAAGCATGTGTCCATGAATGCATGAGATCCATGTGGGAGTCAATTGTTACTATTTACACAGCAGGAAGCAGGACAGAGGGAGAAAAGCATTTTTTGGTGATGACAAATGAGCATGTATTACTCTTAGTGAAAAAATACCTAAATAAAAAGCTATGAAGCACTGATACCCCTCCCAGAAGCATTACTCAGGCTCTCCAGGCAGTCAGCAGAAGTCTTGGGACTTTGGAGTGTGACAGTCCCTCAGTCTCACTTTCATGTCACTTCTTTTCTTTGTAACCATCCAGGTTACTCCAGCATCACTTCCTGATGCTCCTGACATTTTCTGAGACATTATCAAAACTAATAAGCTCCCCTTGGTTCATTTTTATTTTGATAAAAGATAACTGGAAATCTCAGTAAGTCACTCCTGAGATTTTAAAACATGGTTTGTGCTCATAATGAGCCCTGTTAGACTTCTACAGACTCCTAAAGAAAGCCATGTCACTGCATAGCTAAACCTAGACTAAATGAAACAACACCAGTCACACATCAGGCAAGGTTACCTCCCCCAGCCATGGGCTGTGTGCAGGCTTGGGTGGAAGATGGAGAGATAACTGAAGTAGAACAGAATGGTTATTCATGAGCTTCACTTACCCTGATAGCCTAGGAGCTACTGAGCCATCATTAAATCACTCTGCAGCTGTACTTATGCATTCTCCTCCAATTATAACAAGTTTCATATTTAATGAGACCACTGGTTACCTTCATGGTGCATCTGCAAAGCCTGGTACTAAGGGTAGGAGGGGGAATGCAGGAAAAAGACACTCTCTCCCAGCTAAAGGTTTTCTGAAGGAGATGAGCTCTCCCCAGCTCCCAAGCCAGCAGCTGATGCCAACTGAATTCTCCTCTCTTCCTTCAAGCAGGAAAGTTATCAGTTTTGTCAAGAGTGATGTGAAATTCCAGCCTAAGAATAACTGTGGAACAAGTCAACTTTGAATCACATTAGTTGTCCTTGCTGGAAGCTATAGCCCTTCACTCCAACCCTGAGTCCATAGTGCCCCAAATCTGCAGCAGAATCCAAGGGGGGAGCAGGGAAAGACCTCAAGTTGTGCCAGGGGAGGTTGAGATTCAGTATCTGGAAAAAGTTTCTTCACTGAAGGGTCTGGCACTGGAAGAGGCTGCCCAGGGAAGTGGTGGAGGCACCACCCCATAAGTGCTCAAAAAACAGGTAAATGTGGTGTTTAGGGACACAGTGCAGTGGTGGACCTGTGAGTGTTAGATCAGTGTTAGACTCAATGATCTTGGAGGTCTTTTCCAACCATAATGATTCTGTGGTTTTATGGACACTTGACAGAGAAATTGGTTTCCCCCAATGTGCTCCCTGAAGAGGGCACAATCTTTACACTGAAGAAGAGGCAGCTGCTTTCTCAGCCTTCCTCCTCTATGTGACTGCAAAAACAAGGTGACTTAGTGTAGCTTGGTAAACTCCAAACTGCCTTTTAGATGGAGAAATCAGCTCAAACTGCCAGGGAAAACCTGCAGTACGTCACATAAATGCAACTCAGGAAGAAGGGTAATATAAAAAAACCAAACCAGATGTGTTTTCTTCTGGAGATACCTCTCTCATAAATTCACCAGGTGAGCTCCAGAGAATTAAAACCTTATAATTCTGTGTTTTGTCATCTTTATTTCCTACTATATGGACACTTAACCTAACAAGACTTAAAAACAGCCATCAAAACATCGATGTCTTACAAAACATTGGCATTTGTCAACAAAGAACTCCTTAATCATATGGTAAAGCGTTTAGCTTGGGGTTGTCACAGTTGGTTTGATACAGCATTCCTAGTCCAAACTGTAAATTTAATTACCAGATTAAAGATTTTTTTCAATGTAATGTATTATTTTCCAGAAGTTGGACTTTGGTGATTTTTATGGGTCTTTCCAACTCAGGAAATTCTACAATTCTATGGTTTCTTCCTGGCCTGTTGCAACTAACAACATATCTTTTAAATAATATTTCAGTGGCACACATGCACATACATACCCATTACGAATATAAAATAATTAAAGTATGTCATAGCATGTGTATGTATGTATAAACACACTTGTCAAGCTCTGAGAACTTGTTTGCCATTTTCATGGCTCTTTTATAGTCACCAGATGATTGACCTAAAAACTAAGAAATGCATTCTAATGTTCACATTTCCCAAGGGACAAGCGCTTGACAGACACAAATCATGATCTGCTTGGTGATTTCAACAGAACCACCCACATTTGTACAAACTGAGGTGTGGATGCTGCACTTCACTAGCTACAGATCCTTAGCTGCAGCTGCTCATCATATCCTTCAAAACACAAAAATCCCAAATATTAACTTTACTGTCATCATGGCTTGATGGGGGGGGGGAAAAACTAACAAAACCAAACACCCCCAAATACAAACAAAATGAGCCACCAAACAAAAAGTGCAAGAAGTGGAACATTTTGCAGATATTTTGCAATATTCTTGGGGTTTTTTTCTGGAAAAAAGTCAAATCCCTTTTAACAGCGCTTTTTCTAAAAATAACTGTCCTGATAAGCTGATAATCAAAGGAATCTGTCATTAATCTTACATAGCTGCTGCAAATGCACAACAGCCTGGACAACATTAGTTTGGAATCAAAGAAAAAATCTCTTTTCCTGCTACAGTTTCCTGAAGAGTAATTTGATATAAAACAACTTTAAACAACATACAACAACATTAAAACAACTTCTTTGCACTCCAGAAGTGGTCACACCAACAAAAGCACAAATTTCTGTAAAATAACCACTCTAAATTCTGTGTGAGACAAGATTCTGATCCTGCCTGTTTGCAAGGTCCTGACCCTGCAAGATGCACTTTCCAATTAACTCTCTGAATAACATGAAGCTCCACGGAATACAACATGCTCTAGCAAGCTGAACCTAGACAAACCCAAACAACAAACACAACTTGGGAGTCTCAATCTACAAAAGTATTTGAATTTCAACAGCTTACCTCTGGCTGTGATGGATTCTCTTATATGAAACCTTTAAAAGCAAGCTGGGAACCTTTCTAAAAGACTGTCTAGGTCAGGAATAAGTTAGGACCTGCATAAAGCAGGAAATAATACTGACTTATCATGATCCTTTGAGGAAAAACCAGCCAAGCAAATAATCCAAACAATGTGTGAAAGTGATGCAAGAGGCCTCTTGCCAGTGTCAAGAACTGGTTTCTGAGCACTCAATAGTAAGGAACAAGCTGTCTTACCTTGTTTACATCCAAATACTCTAACTTTGGCACTTCTGCTATCTCTTGCTCCTCACTGCTTCCTTCATCAATGTCACTGTCCTCATCCTGCATGGAGTCTCTCTTCTGCTCTACAGAGGAAGGTTTGGTGCCCTTTCTGTCAGGTTCCACCTCTCCTGGGTTCCCAGCCATGCTGGGCTTCCTCTGCTCTGCCCCTTCTTCACTGGGGAACGTTTCCCCAGCCACACTACAAGAAGGACTGTCAATGCCGCTGTCTCTGTTGGGAATTTTACCACTCCCATTCAGTTCTGCACTTGAGTCTTTATTGCCAAGCTCTTCTTGGGGCTCTTTGCTCACAGTCACAGCAGTACAGTCTTCACGGTTTTTGTTATCACCTATGCTCAGCTCTTTGATTTTCATGATGTCTGTGTTAGTCAGATCCGTGCTGCACGGTACATCGGGCTCAGCTTCATCCAACTCAGTTTTGTCACTTGTGGAAGAGCCACCAGAAGCTGCTGTGTCACAGTCACACAAGCTCGTCTGCTTGGATGAGTCCAGGCCAGGTTCCATCTTAAGAGCCAAATTTAGCTGGTTTCTTTGAAGAACATGTACAGGTTGCCTGTGGGTGGAGAGAATGCACCACAGTCATATTAACACTCAGGTTTCACAAGTGCCCTGCAAGGGAGGGTCTGACTGTCCTTCGATTCAAGTTGTATTTCTTGCACCCCACTGACAATCCCAGAAGGTAACAGCGTGCACACTGCAATAATAATGATCACCCAACAACATCCAATGAAAAAACATCACCCCTACACTCGACTGAAATGGCAGCACCAGAATCCTGGGCCTTTAGTGCTTTCCATGCCACCTTGAAGAACAGTCTGGTTTGAGGGCTCAGAGAAGAAGGAATCGCCTCTAAAAAGAAGCAATTGTTTCTGGGCTCATTTAAACAGGAACTCTCATTCTTCAACAGAGCAAAGTCTTTGTGGCAAGGTATTTTCTGCCAGAGAGGATGCAGCATGAGAAGGCACTGCTTTTCCTTTTTGAAACACAACAGGTTCACCTGGGTGATAACAGTCCAAGGCACAGTACAGTGCATCTCTCCATCACCCTCTTTGTGAAAAAATCCCATCACTTAGCTCCATCAGGCGGATTTGTTTTTCAGGGAAATATTTCATGTGTTTGTAAAATGAGCTGGTTTTACAGCAAAATACATGTATTTTATCCAATTTAGAGTCTTTCATATGCAAAGTTTCAGAACAGCTGCTGTTGCACATGGCATTGTTTCACAGTACTCTATACCCTTCCCTGCCTCCAAGAAGCAAGAGCTGATGTTTATTCTATCTCAGACAGAAAACTCAATTATTTCATATCATAACAATCAAGCTCCTATGCTGCAATTCCCACATTGAACCAACTTACTGAAAGCAGATTGTGGGCTACTTGCCTCTGTTAGAATCTTAGCAAATTCAGCAGGTCTTAAGCTCCTTAAGCATAACTGTATGTTACAAATTAAAATTTGCAGCTTTTATTAAAAAGATACTTTGTCGTCAGTGAAGCTTTGCACTTGCAGTAGAAAACATCCCAAGAAGACTTTCCATGTGATCATCACAGTTATTGTTTTCTACTGTTGCATTTTAAGTTAAAAATGCAGAAAAGGGAGAGTAGATCTCTCAAAGCCATATTTACCTAATACTTTCAAATTTCTCAATGAGCGTGTTGACTCCTGCTGATATTGGTATTTCTTCCTCTCCAGGTGCTAAGCTCCTTGATGACTTGGGATCAGCTGGCAAAGGCCGAGATGGTGCAGGAGGAATTCTTTCCTGCCCAGGTTTGAGATGGACAGGTTTAGGAGGTACTAATGAAAGAGAAGGGAAAAAACAGGATAAATCTCCATTTTCTTTATCCTAAACTGGAAACAAAATCCAGACCGAGAGGTATGCATTCTTTCCTCCTTCTTTTTAAGTGGCACAGGTGCAGTCCTGAAGTATTGCTTACACCAAAGCAAGCTGCTAAAGAAAAATGTCAGGCTTCTATTTTGTGTTTCTACAGCTGGCTTAGCCGTGCTAACAAACTGAGCGGCTTGCAGCACTGCACTGCTTCCTCATTACCAAACAGGATGCACAGCTTACACTTCAGTTTAAAAGTTTGCTTGCCATCTCAATCACATTAATGAGCTTCCCCTTCTATGACTTCTCAAAATTCTGGCACCCCATTGAATCTCATATTGGGGGAAAAAAAAGGCAGAGGGATGAACCACATCCCAAAATAAACCATCAAAACCCAGCCCCAGCATGGATTTCAGTGCCTTGTGTTTGCTTGGTCCAAAATGCCACAGGCTGAACATAATGGCTTTTCTTCCTCTCATTCTCCCTCCCCCTCTTGTCTGTGGTATAGTAGTCTTCACAAATTTCCTTCCTCTTTTAGTTCTATGTTGAGTTGTGTACGGTATAAATAAAACAAGTATTATTGTAAGAACATTCACATTCCACTTCAGGACTCAAAAGGAGGCCAAGGTACAAAGTTTAATATAATATTTAAAAAAAGGGTATTAATATGTAATGTCATTTTAAGCAATTTCAAATCTTCCACTGATTGCAGAGTAAAGGATTTATCACACACAGGCAGTAATTCATGACAACAGGTTCCCATGCTGTCATGGTTTCATACAGGGAAAGCAACTCCCATAGCTGCTGGGACTGACACTGGAAGGCAGGAAAACTGGCTGTGGGATTGTTCCCAAAGCACACACTGCATGGAGCAGCACTGCCAAGTGTGCTCACTAGACTATCCAAGGAGCTGACAGGTTAAATGAGGAAATTCTAACTACATGTTGTATTAAAAAACATTTTCTAGAACATTTTCTTTCAACCATTTCTGACTCTGATCATCCATTTGGCACACGTGACCAGCACTATAACGGGGCTTGAGTTAGCAACTACTCTGAATATTACTTGCTTTAGGAGCACAAACAGAAGCATGTGCAACCAGAAAGTCAATTCCAATTGTCCCTTTCTTGCAGAAGGCTTTGCATCTGTTTTAAGATCCACATCAGCCCAGATGTCTGCCCTGCTCCAGCAGATGGGCAGCTGCCATAGTAGTCACAGCCAGGCAGTGGCCAAGGTCAGTGATGAAGAGCTGTTAAAGCATTTTGGAGTTCTGAGTACAGGGCAGATATTAAACTTCTTACATTACTGAGTTTATTTCAGCATGAAAGAATAAAATCAAATTTTCTAAGGATTTGACAGGTCCTCTTCCTATAAGAGGACTGATCTGCCCAATCTCCAAAACCATCTGAAATTCCTATCCTAAAATAAAGTTGTTAAAGTCCAATTTTGAAAAGAACTCTACAAGCCCTATCTTATGCAGGCATAACAGGGAAACAGGAAAAGAAAATCTTTTTGCATATAAATGGTATGGTGAAGATCTGTGTTATGTTCACCAGGTTTTCAAGTGCACACCATGTGACCAGTGAGTGTCTGGCTATATTTTTCCTTGTAAAAATATTTAAAAATATATAAAATATAAAAACAAGTATCCACACAGACATCTGGTGCATCTAGCCAAAGACAAGCTCTGTGCTCCTTACAGAGGGTGCAGAGTGCAGCAGCAGACATGTCAGAACCTACCCCACATACCCCATCAGGCCTTCAAAGCTGGCCCTGATCCATAGCACCCAAAGGTTATACAATAATATTGTAAAAGCATTTATAATATTTATAATAATATTGTAAAAAGCATTTACACTGGGTCTCACTGCTGTCCATGCAAACATTTGATGTCTTTCCTGTTAGTGGAATCATCTAAATCACCTCAGACAACACACTCTGCACTGGACCAAAAGGAAGCAGGAAAACACTTTTGTTAATTCTGAATTTTTACCTACTGAAGTAACGTTGAGAAATGGAGATGTCAGCATGGAGGCAAAGCCACTAACCCTACCAAGAACTACTTAGCAAGCGAAATTTCAGCCACACCAGATGTGGTTCAAGGCCAAGTTCACCTGGGTCAAGGCAATCCCAGATGCAGACTGGGTGGAGAATGGAACAAGATTAGCTCCGGGGAGAAGCATTTTGGAGTGTGGTTGTCAAGATGTTTGACATGACCTGACCACATGCACTGACAGCTCAGAACCTCATCCCCACCTGCAGCATGAGCAGCAGGTAAGGCAGATTCTCCCCCTCTCTCCACTCTGATGAGACCCCATTACAGCTCTGGGGACCCCAACACAAGAACAACGTTGATCTGTTACAACAAATCCAGAGGGGGCCACTGCAGGGGCTGGAGCCTCTCTGCTCTGGAGATGGGCTCAAAGAGCTGGCAGGGTGTTCAGCCTGGGGAAGAGAAGGCTCCAGGAAGAGCTTAGAGCCTCTTCTGGTGCCTAAAATGCTCTCTCTCCAAGAGAGCCAGAGAGGGACTTTGGACAAGGGCCTGGGACACCAGGACAAGATGGAATGGCTTCCTAACTGAGGGCAGGGTTAGATGGGAATGAATTCTTCCCCATGAGGGTGGTGAAGCCCTGGCAGAGGTTGTCCAGAGAAGCTGTGACTTCCCTATTCCTGGAAGTGTCCAAGCCAGGTTGGACAGGGCTTGAAGCAACCTGGTCCAGTGGAAGGGGTCCCTGCCCATGGCAGGGGATGGAACATGATAAACACTAAGGTTCCTTTCCACCCAAACTCTGATTTTTCAGCTACAAATTTGCTACATGGAGGATACTAGTGTTTCAAATCATTTTCAGGTGCTGCCTGAAGGCTGAAGCCACATGCTGGAAAGGTCTCTCCTCATTCCTCCTCCTGCTGAAGGTTTTACACAGCAGCTCATGGCTTCAATTCCTAACTAGGATCCCTCCAACTTTCTGAAATACACACATAGAAAAAGCAGTTTACATCCCCAGTGATTGGAAATCAGTGCCATGAATACAACAGCAAAGTATTTGCACCAGGTGAATTCATTCCAGATCTCACTAAATAGACACTTTTGCTATTCCTTTTTGTTGTTATTACTGACAGTGGAACAACCATTAATGAAACTTGGAGTTTTCACCTAGAGGTCTTGGTGTAGTCTATAAAGACACAGACCATGTGAGGTGTTTCAAGCATGGATTAGTATATTAACTTAATGGTTAAGGTTTACTTCCAGAATCAGAAAATGCAATGCTTTCTTTGTTGTTGTTTAAGGCTGAATTGCTTTTGTATAGATATTTTAATTGGGAGCAGGTGGAGGGGCAATGGCTCAATGTGTACAACACCAAAATATCTTCTTTTTCAGATGAAAATGACCATCTATCACATGGACCCATATCTGCTCAACATTTTGGTTTGTGAACCTAGTGCCTTCTTGAGGCTTAGCTTCCTTTGTTCCAAACACCTCTCAAGCTCCATGTTTTTGCACTCCCTTGAGGCAAGCACCCAGTACATACACCAGGGTAATCAACTCTACAAAGCATGGGGTGCTGAGAGTGGGGCTCTTGGAAAACTGGCATTACAAAGAGAGACCACATGCCATTTTGCTGATGTAGAAACATGAAAATAATTTATACTCTTTCAAGAAATTTCCTGCAGTCTTTTCTGCAGACTTCAGAAGCCTGGGGAGACCAGAAGAACAGCTGGAGACCAGCTGGAGCACGTTTCTTCATGGCTCCTCTTCCATCATACTTGAGATTGCCACCTATTTGACTATTAGGTGGCAGTTCTGTGGAAGTACCACAGCCCACAGGTGATTGATTTAGCTTCTACTTCTTATTTTCAAAATACATTTGTTCTATTTAGGCATTTCCTGTTGCTATACATGGTTCTTACAATAAATGGAAAACAGACCAGGTTTTAACAATAAGATATTATTACCTAATTTATATAAACCTAATTTTTATAAACCTATTACTACTTCTAAAAAGATTTATCAAAAATATAAATAATATTGTTAAATTCAACTTACACTTCATAGCTACAGGAGGTATAACAGGACAAGAAATATAAAATGACAAGCTAAGTAATTGGTTATTGCTGAATCAATTTCTTCTTGAAGGCTTCTCTAGGTGGTTATCTAACAGTGGAAAATGAAGATAATAAAACCTTACCAGCTATACATTACAATGTAAAAGTAACTGTTTTGCTGTGACTCAAATCGAAACAATAATTTAAAAATATTGTACTTCCTGTGCAATAGGAGCTTATACAATTTCTAGAAGGACAAAGCTACTTGCCTTGGGGTTTCTGTAGAGGATGCATTTTGGCCAGTGCAGTTTTGGTTTTGGGCTTCCTTCCAGCCTGATGGAGACATTGTGCTGAGCTGAGGTGCTGCAGTTCCCCACATGCTTCCAACACAGGATTGGAGTCAATGTGACACTTGATTCGAAAAGGAGAACAAGGGCAACCTGAGGGAAGGAAAGAAGCCAGTATTTATTTTGTTCTATTGATCCCGAAGAAAATTTGTGCTACTTCTGGAAGTATGTCACTCATCCAAGCTCCTGAGGAAGGGAAGGGGAGGAGGAGAGGGGTGAGCCCTTCGCTCACAAATTATTACAACCAATACACCCAGCCTTTACAGCCCTGTTAAACTGCCTGACTGATAAGACAGACAGAATTTCAGCAATCCTTTCTTTAATTAATTATTTACTTCTTTACCACAGACACACAAAATCAAAATCAAAGAGCAAATATAAAAGCTAAAAACCATTTCAAAAGGATTTCTCCAAACAGAAATACAAATGCTGCAGCATATAAAGTTATGTTACTTGATAAAATGTAATAGGATGATTCAGAAATATGTTCCACGTGGTGGGAATGGTACAAATGCCATTTCTTGAGATTTAATCAGTCATTTAATCACTAATTACATTTTATGCCTATTTATTACCCCTCCTTACATAAAATATTAACATGCCTGCAAAAGGCTCCAGTGTAGAAGATGCCATTAAGATACAATCCAGTGGCAACACAGAGGAAGATGTGATTAATACAAATGTTGGTCTTCAGTTTTACATTCTTGATTCACTTCTGTGAAAACTCGGAAAACAAACCATCATGGACCCTGCAGTATTTGATTTGGAGTTTTTCTGGACTTGTGGCAAGCCCACACAAAACCCTTATGTCAGCTTTTCTAGTGTGTCATGAGAAGGTTAAAAAAAAAGAGTTTAAAAAGGAATGTGGTTTAAAGTTCCTGCGTATGAACATATAAATATATAGGGTTCTGGCACTTCTCAGAAATGAAAAAGCACATCAAATTTAGAAATTTGAACATAAATGCACTAAAAAAGGGCAAAGAAAACATGACAAACATTCTTTTCCTATTATTGTTTTGAAATGGACTAGCTGAATTTACCAGAATCTTGCCAGAGTGGAGTGTAGCCTATATCACATAGAAACAATTCATCTAAAGGTGAAAAACCAGTCTTTGCCTTTCTGTGATGTCTTCAACAACATGGCTTTAGCTTCAAAAATGCAATCTACTTTCAGCCAGATTCCTATTAAGATCAACAACCTGAAATGAAAAGCACTCCCATTCACATCAACTAAATTATCCTGGATTTATATTAATGGTATTAAATCAGGATGTGACCTTTTGAATAAAGTCCCTGGATCTGAGCTATGCAGACTGAAGATTTTGTTGTCAAAAATAGATTCAGATGGCACAAATCTACTTACTGATCTCTGCCACCCAAATATACAATCCCTAAATTCCCCATGTATGGCTGCCAGTTGTTGCTGGTTGAAGCTTCATTAGCATTTCTACCACAAAAATCTTCTTTTCAGCAGATTTGAGACCAGCCATTAAAACATCCTTCCAGCTAAAACCAGGAAATTAAAAGTACTAGGTTCTATTCAAATATAATTTCATTTAACAGAAAAATGCAGTGAAAACAGACAAGATTATTAAAGAAGATTAATAGATTACTGCAAACACATCATCACTGACAGAATTTACACTGATGGCTCAGTTCTGGGTACCAAAAGCTCCCTGTGACAGCAGCAGTGCTGCCACAGGCCAGCTTTTAAGGGGAAGGACTATGACTTCTTCCTTGTGAACAGTAGCTCAACACAGCCAGAAATTAAAACAATGCACAAGGGAAAAGCCTGAATTTGAGAAAATTAGAAGGGTGGCGTGCAGAAAACAGAGCCCAGTGTTTCAGCAGGTATTCACCAGCGTGACAGGAATGTAATCTAGCAATGTTGTATTTTCTTAAAAATTGCTTCAGTGATCCAGTTCCTCAGTGGACAAATCTCTGCACCTACCACAGCTCTAGAAAACTGGAGAAGACCCCTCTAACCTGTGCTGTGCTGTCTGTTGACACAAGCATGGCACCGGTTTCAGCTCTGGCTGAAAGTCCTGGTAGATGCCAGACACGTCCACAGTCCCCCACAGCAGCTGGAGGAGAGCCACAGCTTCTCCTGCCCCCAGGCACCACATCTCCAGGGGATGCCCAGCTGGACATCCTAAGCTGAGCCCAGCTACCCCACGCTGACTTGGGATAAAGTACAAGGTACCCTAAGCATCCGCCATTCTTCAACCACTGCCACAAAAAATAGGATTATACTGTATCACTTTGTGAAGTTTCAGAAGGAATTAAAACCCAATTCCTGTTTCTTTCCTCCTGGGATTCATTGCTGTAAGCCACCTTATTTTTTTATACTGGAAACAAAACCTAGTGTTTCCTTCACTGGTGTCAAATGTGTGGCACCACCAGACACCCCTTTTGTCTGGGCTTAAACTTCTAATCACTATTTACAGTACTGCAAAGCAGGGTGTTTTGACCCTTATTTTATAAATTCACACATAAATTCTTCCTCCTATGCTGTTTTATTAACTCCAGCATTTTCCTCAAAACCACTTAAAGCTCACCTCTTCCTCCTGTCCACAGCACAGCTGGGACCTCAGCAGGGGTGTGGGCAGTGTGTGTACAGCCCTGCTACAGAGCCCAGCTCAGGGACACTGACAACCATTAGCTGACATTATTCTGGCATTCCAAAACATCAAATTCAGCAAAAAGAGTGACAGAAAAGTTACCACCATAAGCTTTCAGAAACAGATACAATCAAGCAAACATTTATGTTCCAAAGCAAGCAAGAATCTGGCATGGACTGCAATTCCCCACCCAAAGAGTGGTGTATCACTTACTTGTGCTCAAGCAGAGACTCACACATTTTCTCTGACTTGCTTAAGCTGCAAGACAGCCGAAAACAAGGAAGAGCAGCTCCTGCTGCAGCTTTAATTTAATGGGTTAAATGCCATGTTCACAGGAACTGACCTCCCCCAGCTCACTTCCGACCACCACTGCGGTTGGTGAGTCAAAGCATATAAACGTGGCAAATGCCCGTGGAGGAGTGTGCTAAGCACAAGTCACAGGAGATTACTGCTGGCTTTGACTTTCAAACCCTCTGAAAGGCAACACAGAGGATGTGGATGCTTTAGAAGCCTGAATCTTCTGAAACAGAAAAGAGAAAGCTAGATAGTGGAATCACCGATTCTCAGGATGGTTTGGAGGGGAAGGCACCTTAAACAAAAAGCATCTTGTTCCAGCTCCCTTCCACTAGACCAGGTTTCTCAGAGTCTCATCCCACCTGGTTTTGGACACTTCTGGGGATGGTTGGATCTTCACCAACCTCACAGAGAAGAATTTCTCCCTAACATCCAACCTAAACCTAAGCTCTTTTCATTTGAAGCCATTCCCCTTGTTCTATCACTACATACCCCTGTAAAAAGTCCCTCTCTAGGTCTCTTGTAGGCCTCTTTCGTATTTTTATAGAGATTTTTGCTTAGGTATAGTGTGATTTTAATGCAAGAACAGTCAGTAACAGCCAAAACATGTCATGGAAACCAACAAAAACACAGTTCTCAGGACACAAACTCACAGTCTGCTTCACAGTCTGAGAAGGGAAATGGGGGACCACAAAAAGTGACAATAAATGCAATTCTATCAGCAAGAGATGGAGCTTGCTAGAAGATTTACATCAAATGTCTTCAAAATGTTCAAAGCTTCTTCTTCCCCTATCCTGCTCTCCCATCAGAACCTCCACAGGAAATAATAAAGGATGAAGCAAAATCTAAAATTTTTGAATGAATGCTGCATTTCAGGACAGACTCCATCTCTGAGGAGCCACAGAGGGGCTGCTGCTTTGGGTTCTTACAAAAAACACAGTGCTGAGAAACCCTACCAAATCCCTCAGTCTGAGCAGGGCTGCCAGAATTTTGGTATATTCAGTTCACCTCACACCACCACAGAAACACAGACACAAAAAAAAGCTTTTCACAGAGAGAATTGCATCACTAAAATCAACAAATTTGTGCATGTAAAGCACAAGAAGGACCAAAAGTTTCCCTAGACCTATAACAGTACTACTTGGGATTTTTGGATTTGTTGTACCTTCATCCTGTTCTGACTAATTTTAACTGCCTTAGGAGAGGATGCTTTCTCTAACAGATGTTTTATAGCATCTCTAGTGTCACTACTGAACATCATTACCATTGTATCTTCCATAAACCTGCAGCAAAATACCCTGCCTTTATTCTCATTAGATTCTCCTAAAGTACATTCCTGCAAGCTAATCCAAATAAAGGCTGTGCTTTACCAGCAAGCATTGGCACACATTTTACATCTCTCATCATCTGAATCACAACAGGCATATTCTGGAGAAAGGAGCTTTCAGCTCTGGCTTCTGCTCTTCTTGAACAGGTTTTTACATAAAAGGAGTAAAAACCTCTTTTACACACTCGTATCTGTCATTGCAATCTTGTTTTTACTGCCCTATCCAAAACAGCACCTAATCCAGGTACCTCTGCAAAGCTCTTCCAACATTCCTCTGCCTCTGGGACATTTCACACTTGATCCTGCAGCCAGGGATTTCTCCACAACTGCTTTAAAGAAACCATTCACAGAATTTTAATTACTCATTTAATCTTTATTTTCATTTATTTTCATTTAAAGAATTAGCTTTTCAACAGACCTACATCAAGCCTTTCCTCACAACAATAAAGCACACTCCTTGGCCCACCCAATGCTCTCCAGACAGGGTACTACAGCACAGCCCTCAGTTTCTACCCTGCATGTAAAATTCAGAACTACACCCTCCAGACTCACATTTGTCCAGACAGAAGCCCTGCTGGCACTTTTAGTTCTACATGAAGCAGGAATGCAGCATCAGTCCAGGCTCTCTGGTCCCCCACCACTGCAGGGGCAGCTTGGGCACCAGAGCCTTTCCCTCACACATGGCTTAGCTGGCAAGCTGCTATTAAAAATTGGCTATAAAAGTGATTCTCAAGTGTTTACATTTATATAATTAGAATGGTCAGAAGAGTTCTGAGTGACAGAAATGAGGAGCTTCAACACCTAATTCTTTATTGCAGCACTACTCAACAGAGATGTGCAAACCAAATTCCTGACAAAATCTTGGTACTTACCCAGTGACAAGGTAAAGAAAAGGCAAAAATACAAGCATGTCTCAGAAATCCTGCTGCTAAAAAGGCATTGCATAAAACTTTACACTGGGTAAAGGAAAAAAACCAGACAAAAAAATCAAGCAGGCATTTCACTAAGGAGGAAAATGAGAAAGAAAACAAAGTAAAGCACCACAGAATATATTCTCCTCCAGGACTAACAACAGGCACAATAAAGCCCAGAAACAAAAATATTTTTCTTTCCTGTATGAAACAGGATGTGGTACTGCAGTTAGCAAGCACTTACCTTCAGGTCCTGGGGTTATTGGTACAAAGTTTTAAAAAAAAGGTCTGATGTTTTTACTGACTGTGTTTTAATTGAGCCCCCTGTTAACATCCACACTGAGGACACGCCTCTGCTGAAGCCCCAGCCTCCCTCCAGTCACAGGAGTCAGCCCCAAACTACAGGGCTGTGCAGGTTTATCAGTCTTTTCTGTCACTCTGTTTTGCTAATAAACTTCTAAGTGATTATAATTTAAACTCTGCTGGAGTATAGACGAGGACTGATGGATTTTGGGGGGCTTGAGGTTCTTTTAAGTAGTTATATATGTCCTCTCATGTGGTTTAACACAAATATTTTAATTTCTAGATCTGTGTCTGCAGTGCTGCTGAGTGTGATAATGCAGTCAATGTCCTGAACCAATATCAACATTGTGTGCTTTTCCACAATATCACAGGATCATGGAATGATTAGGAATGGAAGAGATCTCTGAGATCACCAGCTTGAACCATCAATCCCCCACCACCTGCATGTTCACCACTGAACCATGTCCCCAAGCGTCACCTCCACACATTTCTGAACACTTCCCCTTTTTGAACACTCCACCGCTGTCCTGGGCTTGACCACCTTTTCAGTGAGGGAATTTTCCCTGGTATCTAACCTAAACATCCTCTGGCACAAGCTGAGGCTGTTTCATCTTGTCCTGTCCTTTGTTAACTGGGAGAAGAGACTGACACCCACCTATCTGAGTGGCAACTCTCAAGTTGTCTCATGATGTTCTGTGACAATCTTGTACCAGAGTTATTCTTTCTTATTTTGTTCATATTTGTATCCCTTTGGAGAGCATCAGTCTGGCCTTAGGTTTCATCTGTCAGTTGAGTTGGACACCAGTAACTTTTGCATTAGCATTTCTAAAATACCTCAGAATTTGGGCATATCTTTACGGATCTGGTCCTAAACTTTGGCAAACTTAGGATTTCAAGTTTCCAGTGACATTCTCACAAGGCACACAGGAAACAGATTGCCAATTTGAAAACAACATGTTTAATTTCTCTGTCTAGGGCTGGAGACTGCTCATTGGTAAGCAAATTTCTGCATTTAGCCATAGTCTTCTCAATATTTACATTTAGCCTGCTCTTCATATTGACATACAGAAAATAGACATTAGGGGATACTGAACATCAAATCCCCATAAGTGTTAGGCAATTACAAACTTTTATGATCTAACAAAATATAACAAAGAGGCTGTGAAAATCTCATTCTCCTGGAGGAATCATTTAGCTGACTTTCCCCCTCAAATGGCATGGCTTAATTAGGCTAAAATAATCACCACAGTAACTTTCTGTGACACAACATCAAAGGTAGAAGAGAAAAAACCCCTGAGATTCTCCCATCTAGTAAGAAAAGCAGGTTAGATGACATAAAAAGACTGAGGCACAAAGAGTGACAAAGTAAAGAAGAAGGAGCCTGGGGTAGGTGTCAGCCAGCCTGACATTGCAGGAGACAAAAGCCCTGCCAGAACGCTGCTCACAGCACACATCAGGAGGTTCAGACATCACATGGGGCTGTCAAACGCTGCTCCTTTACTCGAGAGAGGGAGGCAAGAAAGGATGAGCAGCCAGACGCATTCTTGGGTGCACACAAGTCTTGTCCTACTTTTGTGTGATGAAATGCAAAGCAACTCGTTTAACTTCAGCAGATTTCAAGACTTAATTCCTGCATTGGCCAAGGTGCAGATGCCAAGGTCCAGATATCAAAGTCCATCTTAAGTTGTTGCAGATGCCTAATTTAAAAGGGAAAAGGAGGACTAGTTTCATAAATTCATATATTTCATTACAATTAACATGAAACCCAGAATTCATTAATTTGTAAGACTGTGTTTTGCTTTGCTTTTCTCTTTGGCAAAAGGATTCATTGAACATAGAAGATAATGGGCCTTTTCCCCTTTTTCCTGAACTCAGGATTGAGTATTAAGCAGGTAACATGCACAGAGTAAAAATTAATTACTAGAAACAGACTAGAACTCTGTCTAAGGAGGTTTTAGTTATAGTGAAGTATTTCTCATGATGATTTTACCCTCATCATTCTCATCCTAGCCAGGCAAGCAGAAGTAAGGGCATTTCTCTGACTCACAGGACAAGTCCCACACACCACCACTATGGGACCCTTCAGCACAGCAGCAACATTTCTACTTATCTTTTCCTCCTCTTGCCTCGCCCCATTCAAACTCACTTTGCATCTCCTGTTTCTGGTTATTAACTCGGTTTAGCTCTGGTCTCCAGTTTCAGTCTGGCTGATTCCACCACGACACAGGGAAGCTTTCCCACAGACAACTCCTGGTCTCCCAGAAGGGAACATCCCATACAGAACTGATCCCTCTGCAGTGTCCCCAGAGATCAGCCAAAGGCAGCTGAGCATGACGTGCAGTGTGTACCTGCAACTCTAAATTCATTTTCACCACGGATTTCCTAACTTGAAGCTATCATTTTGCCTGACAGCCTCAGAGCCCTCCCCGATTTCAGATGTCTGTATCATCTCTAAGATGCCCACA